AATTTAAAGCTGGACGAAAGCATGAAAGCGTTATTCCAACAAACACACAATTGCAAGAATGACGGTCGCAACACCGAATCAGGTTGGTGTAGTCTTGGCCGAGTCTCTGTCCCTCCTGCTCACCTCAAATCACCCAGGCGGTAAACCAGGCCTTTGTTTTGCATCCCGGGGGTTCATTTCACTATGAGCAGCGTGCTGTACCTACCCTGGGGTCAGATCGAGATGTGCTTGTCCGAGTTGTAGCAACAGGTTTATGCGGTTCAGATGTGGGTGCACCACTCCCTTGATGGTCGGAGATCGCTTGCCAACATTGGAAACTAACGCTGTGGGATACATAGGTACATTACTGGCAGCATGGCCGTATAGGACGATATATCGTCGAAGGCCCTATTATCCTGGGCCACGAATCGTCCGGCATTGTGGTTGAATGTGGAAGCAAATCAGGTTTTGCTGTTGGAGATCGTGTCGCCCTGGAGCCCGGCGTCGCGTGCAATACCTGCCGCCATTGCCGTTCGGGCAGATACAATCTCTGCCGAGAGATGCGCTTCGCCGCCACACCTCCCTATGACGGGACACTTGCGACTTACTATCTCGTTCCAGCAGAGTGCTGCTATAAACTGCCCGCACATGTCTCGCTACGGGACGGTACCCTGATTGAGCCGCTCAGTGTGGCTGTGCACAGTTGTCGACTCGCAGGGGATATGCAGGGAAAAGCAGTCGTCGTCTTCGGAGCGGGTCCGGTCGGCCTGCTCTGTACGGCCGTGGCGCGTGCGTTTGGGGCGTCAGCTGTGCTGGCTGTGGACGTTGTACCCAGCAGACTCGGCTCTGCGCTGAAATACGGGGCCACGCACACATACCAGATGTCACCCGAGTCCCCGGAGCAGAATGCAGAGGAGATTTTAAATATGGTGGAATTGGAGACAGGTGCAGATATTGTCCTGGACGCCACTGGTGCGGAGCCTTGCCTGAACTGCGGTGTTCATGTCCTCGCTTCTGGTGGAACGTTCGTCCAGGTAGGTTTGGGGAAGCCGAATCCCTCCCTTCCGGTTGGTCAGGTTTGCGACAAGGAGATCGTCTTTAAAGGGAGTTTCAGATACGGTCCTGGAGATTACCAGACAGCAATCAAGCTGCTCCAATCTCGTCGGATTAGACTAGATGGTCTTGTCACCCACGAGTTTCCGTTCACTCAGGCAGAAGACGCATTCAAGAATATCGTCAGCCGAGCAGGGATCAAGAGTGTCATCTACGGGCCTGGAGTAGACGAGCATGAAGCAAAATCCACGTTGACATAGCACTAGTGAATCTGTGCCCGTTGCTGTAACTCGTGTGACATTTCCTTCCGTTTCCTAGAAACTGGTCGTACGTCGGGCCATTACATAAGGCCTATGACTCTGTTCCGTTCCACGACATATCCCATAGCCAGTATAATCCTCGTTCGCCCGTACCGTAGGCTGCGGTTTCCATTGCGTCAAGAGAAACGCTGGGGTCATGCCATTCGTTCGGCGTAGATTGCTGCCATGCATGGTCTGGTTGCAAATTGTCCTGAGTGGTGTCGCGAGCTTGGTGAGTGTCTCCACTCGCATACCAGTTGAAGGAATGATCATCATCGCCGGAGGGAACGACTGGAGAGGAAGCCACAATCAGCATTCCTGGTCGTGGAACTATTTATCAGAACGGCGTAAAGTCACTCACCGAATTGAACAGATGCTAAACTTTCGTTCAGGCGCTGAGCCCTGGTCTGATCCGGCCATGCGGATCGTCGCGCCGGGGCTTCAGATAATTCAAGGGTCGCGTCGAGGGGGAGTCGGAGCGTATCTTCCACCGACATTGGCGCAGAGTCTAATAAAGAATGGTGACCTTCTTGCTGATTGTTTGTCGTGATTGGAGCGAGAATAGCTTCTGATTCCCGGCGGAGAAGCAACGTGACCACGTTCTTCAAAACCGTCGTACTCTGCTTCGATAATGCCGAGCGCTTTCCAAGAAGGTCCTGCAGACGCAAGATACGAGTGATTGTCCGCTTCACGACCTGTGCTGTGTCGGAGAGGGGATCTGACAGCGCCATGACCGCCAACACAATTGCCGCGTTGAACAGGTTTATTGCCAAGAAGGCAACCAGATGACTGTCCGTCGCAAGCTGAGCCAGGACCGGTAGCTCAGTCACTCGAGATGTTCTCAAGGCCGCGTTCCACCAGTGTACCGGACTTGTGACAGACGAATTCGGCGACACAGCATCGAATGCTGGCTCCCTTTGGGCTGGCGATGGCCCGCTCGGATGGCAGCCAGGGGAATCTAGCCCGCCACTTCTGCTAGAAGCGTGATGATTTGTCGACAGGTGATCAACTTGCCTTGCCAATAAAGGCCGGTGGAGGACAATGAGAATGTTATCGTAGGTCAATTGCAGGGACAACGATTGTAAAGCATGTGCCCTTGCACTGAGCCCGCTGTCAGGCCGGAAGTCTCTGTCGAGGTCCAGGACTAGATGCTCAGGTAATTCATCCCGCCATCTCTGAAGGTTTCGAGTCGCTTCTTTGGCAAGAGCAACGTATGCGTCCCCTGCCAGTTCCTCTGAAGAGCCTGACGTGCGCGAGCCGAAAATTGCCTCCAGGGCAGAGGACGCCATGAGGTAGAGACGGTTCAATTCCCTTTGATATGTGGAGTAACAGACGGTATATCCCTGCTCTGATCTCGGGGCAACAAAGTAAGGATTTTCGAAAATATCCGCTGGCATATTGAGATTGCAGTCCTTGTCGTTGATGCCTAGTGGTCGGCCATAAGTAATCGATGCAAATCGATCCCAGGTGTATATGGTCCACCACACGCGTTTCCTTTCTTCAATATCCTCAAAGTTGACCCTCGATGGTTCACGATGCAACCCTGCCGCCTGGGATATCTTGATAGTCGCACCAAGTAAAGAGAAGGAAAGATTGGGGCGTCCGTGATAGACGTGGTGTGATCCGAAAAGTATGCATATCTGGGCTGCAGTGACAGACGGTTGGTCCATCAATTCAACAATATGCGACTCGACGATCTTCAAGAGGTTTGCACTCAATTGTTGCAAATTCCCATTGTCGGTCAAATCAGTCGTCCTCCTTTGGGACCGATACCACGCCCCCATACCCAGTACGACTGCAAGGAGCAGCAAGAATGATTTCTGGGAAGGATAAGCAAGCCCATCGGCGACGGACAAGAGTTTCCTGCGAAAGGTAGGTTCATAAATAGCAAGAGAAAACCAATGGACTGCATCAAAGTAGTCCTCGAGCAACGAATACATCATATCCGTCGGCGGTAGATCCTGACCTAGTATTGAAGAAATGGGAAGCCGTTGTCCGGCAGTTGCTGCGTGCCGCTTGGCAACGCTGGTGCTCGCTCGGTAGCCTGGAATAGCAGAAGTGGCTTGCTCATCGATATGCTGCCTACCGAGTTCGCAGATTTTTTGTACAATTCCCATGGTAGATTCAGCTTCACCGTAGTCAACTGCCGGATGTGTAACACGGCTGTCTATACTTATGCGGCTGTCATGATTAGTAGCCCCGACTGATGGAACCTCGTTGCTGGCGCCATCAAAGCTCTCTGAGGGTTGGTCAGCGGCAGCTGTTGATGCAGTTCTCTGTCGCTCATGGCTTCGCAAAATTCTCTTTGCTCTGCTACTTGTTAGTAAATTAAGACGAACGAGAAGATTTACTCTACAATGATCTCGTCTCCCTAAGGACTTACTTCCGAGTGCTATCCCTGCGGGTCCGACTGGCAGGAAGTGGTTGACAATCCACTTTTGCTCGTGCGCAGAGTGAGCAAGGTCGGAAAGGATCACACTGCAGATGAAGAAGTGGTACAACGTCAGTAATCTTTCAAAAAAGAGCATTGTAACAGGCTGATGGAAATCCATACCCGAGTCTTGTGGCGACGGCATCTCTCGCATGCACTGCTGACTCGCGTCGGCAATGGTGAGCGCGTGTAATTCAAGTATCTACCGGAATCTAAAAGGTACTCTGCACTGAGCTGTTCCGATGGATGTTCAGACATGATTTGATTCTGGACATGAGGAAGGCCGATGCCGGTAGCGGACCGCAGAATGGAGAGGAACAGCATCCGGCGGAAATTCGCACGTTTTCCCCAGTTTTTGTCGGTTCTCCGCACCATTTCGGAGCCTGAGGCATGTCAACCAGACACTTCCCGGTCATGTGACTCTTCGTCGAAGGAGTAAATCTTCAGGATTCATGACTTTTCAAGACAATATGACAGTTCAAGATGTCCTTGTTTTAATTGTCTATGGTCCAAAATTATTTCTAGACACTTGGGTGCAGAGAAGAGTAATCAATTCCGGCTTGAGTTCACCAGAGGTCTATCCCGAAGTACCTATATGTGGAGTACCCGCACATATACCGAAGCAGCTGGATAAAGTGGCGCAGATGTGAGAGTTACAGTAAGCGAGAAGACACAACAGATAGTATGCTGCTAGGCAAGCATTACCCAGTCTACATCGTCCATTCTCTTCACATACGAGATCGAGATGAGGTTTCAGCTATGACAAAACTGTCCTACCTTACTCATACTGTGCACTCAAAGTCCCTGCTGCACCCTGTTTAATCTACCAAACTTTACACTCTGGTTAGATGTACACTTACACTTAACGGGGTCGGACCATGGAGAGACCGTATACTTGTGATATCGGAGGTTGATTCGAATATTCATTCTGAGTACGGCAGAAAAGGACCGGATGCCAGATAAGTGAGTGAATAAGCGGCTTACAATACACATCTTAAGTGATGACACAACTGATGCGCCAAAACCAAGATGGCCACTTGTTTGACCTCATGATCAAATGCAGAAGTAACAAGTGAATGAGACTTGACCAACACAAGTGAGTGACTTCCGCCTCAGGCGTGTCTGGTTTGTTTACACAACACTCAAGAAGCTCCCTCACCTCACTCACTCGACGGTATTTCCCTTTTTTTTCTCAACTATCACTCCTGACCTTGATGTTTTACTTAGGACCTTCAATAATGAATCTCCTGTCCTTACCCAACGAGCTCATCCTAGAGATAGCGAAGCATCTCCAGAACCAAACTTGGCTTAACACATTCACCCGCACAAACCGATTTGTTTTCAGCGTCGTAAACCCATATATGCACCGCTACAACGCAGATTACCACAAACACACCGCTCTTGGCTTTGGTGTTTGCGGTGGGCTTGAAAAGGTCGTCAGACGATCACTGGCTGCGAAGCCAACCGATATCAACGCAAGAATCGGCTCGATCATACCGGTCTGCTGCGAGCCGCTCCACACTCCCCTTTGCTACGCAGTAGGAAATAAACAAATGCGAGTGATCGAGATTCTACTCGACGAGTATGGTGCCGATATTGAACAGCACTGTTGCAAATCAGTAACGATGCTGATCTGGGTTGCACATATGGGATTGCTGGACCTGACCAAACTACTCGTTGGCAAAGGCGCGAACATCCATTCGGAGGATGGAGCTGGAGCTAGGCCAATTCATCATGCTGCTTGGTCGGGTAATGTGGAATGTATGGCGTTTCTTATCCAGGAAGGCGCTGATGTTCATCAAACCGCACCTGGTGAGGCCCCAGGTGAAACATGGTCCTGCCTTCATTTGATGGTCATATGCGGTAAAATGGAGGGAGTCAAGCTTCTAGTGGAACAAGGGGTCGATATAGACATGGTGCGGGTTCGAGGAACGACGTCCGTGAAAATGGCCGTGGAATATGGCCACTTTGACATCGCCTCGTACTTACTTGCGCACGGGGCTAAAGTTCCAGAAGACCAAGACTTCTTCGTTTCCTGCGCCACCCGCGGATACGCTGAGGGTCTCAGGTTGGCCTTGGATAAGGTTGTTTCAATAGACGACGCAGACTCGGAGGGCTATACCGCCTTCTTCAACGCGGTGGCGCACGGACATGTCGAAGCTGTCCGTGTGTTGTTGGATCGAGGCGCCAGTGTTATCATCGAGAATGAGGGCTCTGCTATACCTATAGCCGCCGCACATGGCCACTTCCGAGTTTTGGAAATGCTTCTGGATCACGTTGATCGATCTGGCGGCGACCGGACGATGAGCTATGGGAATGCATTTCAGCTTGCAATGCGGAATAGACACTGGGACTGTGCTGAGGAACTCTTAAACAGAGGTGCCGAACTGAACTCGAAGATTGATGATGAATTGCCCCTATCTTACGCGGCAAGGCTCGGCGAGGAAGAAATAGCGAGAGCTCTCCTTACAAAAGGCGCTGACCAGACACGGCATGGCGACGATCCCACTCTGCTGTTTTGGGTCGTCAGGAACTTGAGCATCGACGTGCTCAGGCAACTTCTCGAGCTTGGTCTTGACCCCAATGCATACTCAAAAGCTCTCCAGCAGGGTCATTCGTCCATTCGGAAACATTCTCGTAAGGGATGGCTACTGCCACCTCTGGCATGCGCAATGAGCCAGCAGTTTTACGACGAGGCAGAGCTTCTGATAGACCATGGAGCCGATCTACGCCCCATCTACCGAAGGAAACAACACATTACTTTGGTTAACGCCACTCGATCCATGAAGTGCACCTTGATCGTCAAGATGCTTGATCGGGGTTTTGATGTGAATGAGAAGAGTGATGCTGGCGAGACGTCTCTCTCGGTGGCTGTGACCGCTGGCAACGCGGAAGTCGCCGAGCTTCTCCTGTGTCACGGGGCGGACCCCAACATGCGCATCGGATCCTTTCCGTCTGTTCTATCACTCGCCATCGCAAAGGGACACGTTGAAGTAGCAGACGTCCTTCGGAAGCACGATGCGAAGGAAAAATGCGAGGAAATGGATGTTGATGAGGAAGACTATCTGGCCGGTGTGGTTGAATTGCTGTCGTCTGCGTGATGTACCATTGCATCATATATTTGTCTTGCCGTTGCTTGTGTAAGAGACATGGAGTACATGGAAACACCTTAGCCCATGTATGTTCACAGATGTCATTATCCACTATGTAATCTCTATAAACTAGGATCTCACTCGCCCATCACTCTACGGACATGCCCGATGAGGAAGAGCCGACTGCGCGATAGAGCACAACTATGAAGGTTATCCATTATTATTTTGTTATTAGACACTACCTTAGAAATATAAAGGTCTTCCGCGACAAAGGGTCTCTCAAATACTCATCCAGCCTTGTCTTCAAAGCGAAATAGCGGCAATCTTGCCAGGCTCCTTGTAAGTCCCACCTACCGGAGCCATCAAGCCCCCATTCGTGCCAACATACAGGGTCTGTGCCTCTTTATCCAAGACACAGCAAGTTGGCCCAGGCAGCACAGTCGAATTCTTACCTCCAGCAAAATCTACAACCTTGCCCTCAGGCGTATACTTGACAATCGTATTCTCCGGGTTCGTCGCAAAGAACGCCGTCCCATCGTCCATAATATCAAAACTATCCGGGTTGATCTCACTCGTAATCAACTCGAATGGCCCGTCCGCATTCGCCATCTCGTCGATCTTCACCCGCCGATACTCCTTCTTCGTCACGCTCACATAGTGCAGATACTCCCCAACCACATGGATCCCGTTGACCCCCATCGGCGGCGCATTCGGCGCAGGCAGCATCGACTCGTCCTGCAGCGCAACCGCATACTCCCCGGAATCCAAGTCCACCCGCCAGATCATCCCGTCAGGACTATCCGCAATAAGCAAGTACCGCGCATCATGGCGGGGTTTGTACAGGGTAGTAGCGCCCAAAGCCTTCGCCTCGGGGATATCGACTATCTTGGTGACTTGGCTAGGCGTGTTTTTGGTCAGGGTAGACTCCCCGTCGCCCCACCAAGGCACCTCGAGGACATCATAGTTCCCGTCGTCGTTGAAGTCGAGTCTCCAGACGGCGAAGGAGCCCTGCTCGGCGGCGAAGCCTTGCAGTTGAAACTTGCCCGCTACGACGGCGAAGACGTCATGCTCGATTTCGGTGATGCCGAAGACGGCGGTGATGTCGCTGCTTTGCTGGGCGAAGGAGTAGGCTAGAGCCCCGGAGCCGGTCTGCGGGTCCACGGACCAGACCTCTGGGACGTCGATGCGGGAGAGGAGGAGGGTGCCGTCTGGGCGGACGACGACGTTGTCGATGAAGGAGCCGTTGTCTGGGAATTGGAAGATGTCGCGGACGGTGGGGTTGGTGGTTTCGTCGTCCGTGTGCTCCGTAGAGGGTTGGTTGGAGTTGGGGATCTGGAATGCGAGGGTGGATGCCGCGAGGGACACGAGTGTGAGGCCTTGAGTGAGATACATGATGGATATTCTAGAGGGTGGTGGTGATGGAGGTGGACGGAAAAGCATGGCGAATATGTGGGATGTATTTAAGCAGCTTATAATCAAAACACTGGGTCGATCGCTGCTTGATGGGAAAGCCCCTTGCATTCCTGACCGTAACTATGAGGGCAAACCGGGCAGACATTCCTCGGACAAAATGATCGACATCAATTCAACTAACCCCGCGGAAGTATGCAAGGCATGCTCCGTAGTAGGTTTGCTTACGGTGGAGGTTTCGGGACGATAGATCACATTGTGGCATCAAACTGGGACGCAAGGCCTTGTATGCATCGCTGCCATCAGTATCGCGAATACGACCGATCAACGCGGAAAGAGCTTGGCAGATGGAGTGCCTTACTGATTAATTGCGGAATTTCCGGAGTCTAGACTTGATTATGTCTTTTATTATAGAATTATGAACTAAATACAAGGATCCAAAAATGGAGACACGAACAGAACACTCTTGACAGCCTTCCACCGGCCAGTCTGTTTCTAGAGACAAGTCTAGCAAGAGGCGCCAGCAGGGACGTTCTTGCAGTTGGAGCTCTTCTTGCCGCCAGTGACGCTGTTGCCAGACCACGTCCAGTTGGTGCAGCTGCCGGATCCACAGAGGATGTAAATATCAGTAGCGGAGCTGGTGACGCTACCGGTGACCTTCTCGAAGGTGATATCGGAGACCTTGACGCCGTTGGTGGGATTGCCAGTGGGCTTGCCGTTCTCGTAGTCCTGCTCGACGATAATACCGTACTTGGTGATACCCTTGAGGGTGATATCCTGGAACTTGACGCCGGTGACGGAGCCAGTAGCGCCGTAGACAGTCTTGATACGAGCACCGTTCTGGGAGTTGATGACCTGGGAGTTGGAGATGGTGACGTCGTTGACGACGTTGTTGCTGCGGCCGCCGACGGAGCCGATGGAGAGACCGTGACCACCATTGCAGTAGCCGTTGGTGAAGGTGATGTGCTCACCGGAGTTGACGGCCAGGCAGTCGTCCTGGTTGTAGACGGTGGCGCCGTCAATGGTGATGTAGGTGCTGGAGCCGATGTCGAAAGCATCGGTGTTATGGCCGAGCTTGGTACCGGCGGAGTTATCGATCAGGACGTCCGTGATGGTGAGGTGGTCGGACTGGATGCTGAAGGCATGGACGGGGGTGTTGTAGACCTTCAGACCGCTGATGTTCGACTTGTTCAGCTTGTGGGCAGAGAAGAACTTGGGCTTCTTCTTGCCGCCGTTGCCTCCCTTGCCGTCCCACCAACGAGCACCATCACACTCAATCTTACCACCAGCGTTCTGCTTGATGGTAATGCTGGTTCCGGACGCAGAGATCAGGGGGCCCTCCCATTCCTTATAGCCGAAGGTGGTGGTACCGTCGAAGACGACCTTTGGCATAACATTAGTCGATGGCATCCAACAGACCGATCATGTAAGACTTACAGTGGTACCGGCCTTCAGGCCAGTCAGGTCCAGGGTCTCACCCGCGGGCACGGCGATGTTGTGCAGGGTGATGGTGGAGCAGGAGGCCTTGCCGGACTTGAGCGCGGACGTAGAGGTGAAAGTGCAAGAGCCGCGAGCCTCGAGATCAGCGGCAGGTGCGGCAGCGACCAGCGCAGCGCCCATGGTCGCGGCCACGAGGGAGGATTGGAAGAAATGCATGGTGGAAGAGCGGAAGTCGAGTGGTTGGATTGTGTTTTAAAAGATTGGACAAGGTTCTGATCAACAGATACCCTAAAAGTGATAGATACAATAGAATAAGAAAGACGAAAGGAGCGCGGATGAGGAGAAAAACGATGGATTCAGCGTGAGGGTGTCTGAAGCTTTATATAGGTGTCGGTAGCCCAGCGGGGCGATGACAGGGGCGTCCTAGAGGCTTTCAGGGAAACCCTGATAATAGGGATCAAACCGAAGCGAAAGTATACCATAATGCAAAAGACAAGCTAAATTGCCGTCTGACCTATGCAGGAACCCCACCTGGTTGGGAACTGAATCGTGATATCCCTATAGACCCCTATGGTGATGGCACGCTGGCACCAAACGGGAATAGATTCTTTAGGACCTCTCCACTTGGACCAAAAAGCTTCGCCGGAGTTTCCCCACGAATCCGGAAACGTGCCGAGACATTTAGCAGCCTCTAAGCATATTAGGGACTGTTTTTGACCCGCGAGTCGTTTGAGAATGTCTTAGTGCCTCGCCCGAACGAGTATAGAGACTCTCTTTTTTAGGGCTAACACTGGCTACTTCCAACTGTGGGCGCCACAAGTGTTGCAAATAAACAGGCTGATGAACACCGGTTGATTAAAAATCAATCAATTGTGGCTACGTATTCGTGTTCATCTGGCATTCAACCGGCCTTGCACCGCTACTCATGTTGCATGATGCTCAGGGCGAAGTGGATGATAGGCGGATTATATTGTTATTGATCCATTACTTCCGCTTGTTCCGGTTTGCGGCTGTACTCCGTAAACCACATGGATTCCCAACATTACTGCGAGAGAAGAAATAGCCCTATATCTCTTAGCTTTCTTAGCTCTCTCTACAGATTGTGATTGGTCCCTCGTCATCGGGGTGATTTGAGCCGACACCTCTGAGTCGGGGTCCTCGGGGTCGTCAGTGATCGAAGGCATTACACAGTAGTTCCAGGGATAGTCTTCTGACTCTCACTCATCATCATCTTCTCTTCAGGAACCCTTTTTCGCTGGCTGTCTGTATTTGACGAACGGTATTTGACGCAGAATACGACAAACGCATCATCAGAACTGCAACAAGTCCCCTATGCAGGGCTTCAGGGTCCGTAATTTAGTCCAATCACGACATCATTCCTCTCAATTCGGGGTGGATGGCGCCGAGGACATTTCCCCTTCAGGAGATGCGTAGATTGCGCACTTCGCTTCACTGCCTAGATCCACGCTTGTCCCACCTATTCTCTGCCCAAGCCTTTTTCATAAGCTCAATCCTCAACTCATGGCAAATCTTGGCATGAGAGCCGATGACTTCGGAATATTTCCTTAGCCTGCAGCCCTCCCAGTATTTCTCCGGCTTTTCTCTGGTCCTGCATGAGCAGGGGTTATTGGAGGTCAAAGATGGGTGTCTGAAGGCCTCAGATTCGTACGTTCTGCTTGTACTTCCATCATAATAGCCATGCTTATTTGCTGATTAACCCCTGGAACGATTCAGAATTGAAGGGTCAATGTGGGCGCAGAATTCCAAAGCCGATTCAAATATATGACTTGATGCTTCATAAATATCAACTTGGTATTAGGCAACCGGATTTGCGGGTTTGGCCCGGCCGGAATTACGGCAAGCGCCACATCCTTCTCATCGTTTACCGAATCCACTTCTCATTCTCCTTTCTCTCTCAGTCGCAGGTTACTTCTCCTTTCACCCACCATCGCTATCACAGCTATATCGCACTGGTGACGATTCGTAAACACCCACCCGCGAACCAGAAAGTCCTCCACGAGCATAAGCCCGAGGACTTGTACAGCTCCTTGCAAGAGAATCCTGTCTGACACGGAGACCACCATGAAGACTGGCGAGGGAGAGACACATGCACAGCAGACCGTTTATAGCTGAAATACTGTTCATTATTCACCGGAGAAGAACTGCTGGATGATCAACATCGTTGTTGAGATGGCGTTGTCCAAGATGCGCGGGCCTTGCTCGGTCGTCTTGACGTTGATCTCAGTGGCTTGTGTGGCCTGGACACTGGCTGCGTTGTTCATAGTGCGTTGATGCTGCCATACTCAACGGACTCCGGGCATAGTATGCCAACCTTGTCGTTCCCACCAGAGTAAGGGATATTGGAGTAGGCTGAACCCTGCAAAGGCTGGGCACCTGGCTCCGTTCCAGACGTAGGTGCGCGTTTCCATCCATTCGACTGCTAAAGCCGATGATAAAGTCTTCGACGTATTGGGCTCGAGTACACCGCATCCCAGTAGTAAGCCATGCAGAAGGTTTTCCTGACATCAATAGGAGTATAGGCTGATGCAGACGATTGCTGCGCAACCTGGGACTCTAACATGTACGCATCAAAGACTGACTAACCAATAAGACCTCTATCGTAGCTAACAGCCTAACATACAAAATGCTTCAATTGTGGGTGCAGCTCGTATCACTGAGCCACATATAGAAATGACATGTTTCTAAGGAAATAAAGCTGTAGGGAATGAATCCATGGATCTAGGACCCGACCAATCAGTGAGATTGACCTCTGACTCAGCGGAAATTCGCACCATTGTCGGCAACGGCAGTCACAGCGGATCTCCGACTCTGCGTAGCATCGTCGGCTGTGCTCGTTCCTGCCAGGGACACGGCCTGATGTTCTATTCAATGGATAGAATCGATTTAGGAGAAGTTAAGCCATATGTGCCGCGATGCGATGATCAGTAGTTTTGTGGTGGATTGAACCCACTGCTCAGGTCCTATTGGCGATATATATTCTGAGCCGGTCTCTCTATGCCGATTCATCGATCCCACAATATATAGTCCAGGCAGAGCCTATGATGATGATGATGCTAGATGATGCTACTAAGGCCATCCTTGCTCGACCCCAATCCCTGGACAACAATAACATTGCATCGCTCGATAAACTCCACTACCTCTTCCTTGTCATGCCACGCATCATTGTATGCCGCACTCAGGGTCAGTACCCCCTTCCAGGTCCCCAGGAACAGTCCGAGACCCGTCCCCAGTTCCTCCCCAGTCACCCAAGGGCTATCCAGCTCGAATGTCCCGTGAGAAGGGCTAATCACATTGTCCACCACACCCAAGCTGGAGATTGAAACTGAAGGCGATTGATTCGGTTCTGGGATTGGGAGCGTGGCATCATCGTGCGGGTAGGGAATAGTGTTGCTGGCATACCACGAGGGTATCATTTGAATGTAATCCTTGTCCCTTCTCATTTCACGATAGAACTCCCTGACAGTCTTCGCGACCCTTAGAAACTCCTCTCTACTCACCTCTGTCGTCGAGCTATCGGTTATACTCGGAACTGTGGTATCAACAACGAGCAACCTGCACGAAACGGAGTGGTAGACGGCCGCTGCATGGAGAGGGGTATCGTACGGACACAGGCAATGTCCGCGCTCATTGATCAAACTGTAATTGATATACCTGACTAGGCGTTCGCTATCGCGCCGTTCCTGGAGATCCCGCACCGCCATCGCAATTGCCGTATGGTACGCATGCGTTACACTCAGGCCTAGCCGTCGACCCGCTGAGAATGGCTGTGGTTTGCTGAGCGGGGATAGTAACGGCGACCCTCTGATGTTTTCCCGGGAGGTGATTCCCCTTCTTAAAGGGAACACTGGCAATCTCTATACGATCCTGCTTCATGAACGCGTTGTATGCCCTGATCGACTCGAATTTCTCCGTTTGCTCGGGAGACATGCTTGGCTGCAGGCCCGCAGCTACACGGAACGGGGGACTCAAGTTCGCATATTCTATACCGAAGCAAGGGAGAGGATAATCCGACCCTCGTTTGTAGGCTCTCGCCGCATGGGTAAAGAGATTGTCGAATAACATCAGCGTCCCAACGCCGTCGATGATGTCGTGATGAGCTCGGAGCACAAGATCACCCTGGAGTAGTCCTTCGACGCGAGGAGAGGGCCATATCAAAAAGAGAGTCGGTAGCTTAGGCACCGGAGGATCTGAATTGCACCATTCCAGCCCGGAGACGCCGTTTGATATGGTGAGAAACGTAGTTTCCAGCCACAATTGAAGGCCGTCTTGCCCGGCGGGAGACTCGTATATCTTTTTGCAGCGCTTGCGGTCGGAGTCCCATTCTACCCAGGACGCAATGGTCGGGTGGTCGAAACGCAGATGCACCCATGCCTTGCGCAGTGCATCCTCAACTTTTCTTCTTGTTTCCTCTTGGGAAACACCGTCGTCTGTCTTGACAGAGAATGACACGAAGCCCGTGATGGCGAAGAAGTTGCGCCCGCTGCCTTCGTACGATTTCGCCAACGAGGTGTAAAACTGTTCGACCTCGTCGATGCCACGCTCCCATCGACTGGCACTCACCTGCTTCCATTGAAGATCCGTTTGTTGTCGCATCTCTGCGGAGCGCAATGACAATGTATAGTGCTAGTCGACAAGGCGCATGAAGATAGGTACTGGATCTGGGTTCTCACATAATATATTGACAGGTCTGAGTAGAATAGCCGGAAAACGGCCCGAAATACCGTCGACGAGTCAGAAGAAAAGGAGGAAGAAGAAGAAGAAGAGGAAGAGGAAGTAGTCACTGTTGACCTGCAGCGAAGCATCTCGTGCGTTGTTATGGCGCCGGGATAACCTCGGCGGCTTGGCCACCTTCCCGATCGGGTAAAATAGTCAGCAGACGAATGGCACGGTAGCATGGGAAAGCATAAACATTTGTCATTTCCGAGATGATCATCTCATATATCACTATGCTATTTCCTCGGAAAATGTCTCGTCATCAGGACCATTGCTCCAATGCCTCATTGACGTGAATGATATATTTGCTTCGTCGTTTAAATTTGCAGGCTTATCGTTACTTTAACCAAGATCACGATGACTACTTGACCGACTGCAATTAGATACGATAACTTCCTCAGAGAAGAGATATCCCCAGAAGTGACTACATAAGCATAAAACCATTAGAACACCGCTTCCATAAACCAGTCATAGTCAATGCCCATGCAAAGTAACCATACTCTCAGTCAACGCCCCCGCCAGAATAACCTCCAGCAACGCCTCCTCGACCCCCTCCGCAACCCTAACCTCGAGATAGCGACTCATGAACAGCCCAGCCCAAAACGGCATTGTTTTACTCGCGATAGCCGGCTTAACAGTCTCGAACTCCGTTACTGTGGATTTCCGCTTCTCCACTGTTCTTAACGAGGAGTACTCATAAAGCCTGGTTTGCGACCCCTCTTTCAACCAGACGTACTTCCTCCCCTTGAACTCGAATTTCCGAGGGCGCCAGTACCCTGTTACCGGCACTTCGGTGACCACAAGACCGGATGATAACCGGTGGGTTAGAGGCCGCCCGGTTATCGAGTCTATGTCTGGGTTACCGGGGGTAATGGGTGAGATGAATGTCTGGAGGCAGGTATTTTGAGGAGGCAACTCCCGGCGAAGAGTCGTACTCGCGATCTGGGATTTGTCCGGCTTGATGCCTTGCATTATATACTTGGTTTCGTTGGAGCCTTGGTCCCTGGCCTCGAAGGTGATGTTGTTTTCTTTCTTTTCTCCATTTCGGGTGGTGCTTGAATAGCAGTAGAAGACTCTGGGTTGTTGGGAGATAGGAGCGCTGGCCATTATGTTTATCATGGGATGTAGGGTAGATGGACGGATCCATGCTCAGAGAATAGGAGGTTATTGTCAGCTGAAGATATGCCAAGCTTGAATACGAGTCTGACGCTTGAGGACGAAGTAATCTCGGAAGAATGGCTGATGGGATCATGGGAATACGATGAACTTCAACGACATTTGCATTGTAGAAGCTGTAGACTATAACCAAAAAGGATCGATAATCAAATACATACTTTCAAGCAGAAGAAGAAGAAGAAGAAGAAGGAGAAGGAATAAAGCGTCCACGTCCACCATGCCCTTCGTTAAGTTACGAGCATCCGCATCCTCCATCTTGATCACCGCTACAGGCACTGAGAATAGTACGCGTTCTGCACCTGGCAGGTATAAGGAGAGACACAACTAGTCGGACCAGTCCATCCTTGACCACCACACTGACCATAGTGCTGCGCCACGGCAGTCGAAGTGCTCGTCGCAGAAGTGGTGGTCTTGGTCGACGTGGTCGAGGTCGAAATCGAGCCGGAACTTCCAGAGCTAGAACCGCTGCTGAACGTTGATCCGATCGGACCAACTTTGATGTTCGAATAAATCACGTACGAATTAGGACTTTCGGATTCAATAGTGGCCGGGACGCCCGAGTCGGTCGAGCAGGAGCCACGGACAGCTCCTGGAGTCGACGAAGACGCATCGGTTGGATAGGTGCTGTCGAGCCAGAGCATATCCGCGTAGTAGTCGTCCCAGAGCGACATGACCAGTACCATGCCGGTGGACATGGCCTCGGACATGGCGGAAAAGCCGCCGTGCTCGGCAAAGGTACCAGATCCGCCAAAGACAGTATTCTCGGCAGTGCAATACCCGGCGTTGATGGCGTTGCCGGTAATACCGCTGATGTCTGAATTGGGCTGGGCGTAGGTGACGCCGTTCTGGACGTAGTAGCGGCGGATTTCAGACAAGGTTCCGCTATCTGTGCCGTCATCTGTGATGAACTGTGTCACGACGGTGAGGGGAGAGTTGGTATCGATTGTCTTCCCTGGGCCGTAGAATGTAGTATTACCCATGCGGTAGGGGTTAAAGTCGCAGCCATCCGGGTCGCAGGTGCCGGCATACCGATCACTGCTATATGTGCCGCCGCAGGCATCACCAGTGCACATGGTGTTTGTGGCAGTATCACATGGATGAGGTGTCAGAGCCTGAGAGATGCTGTTGGATTCCCAGATGTCCAGTTCGGCACAGCATGATCCATGGTTGCCTAATCCAGTGTTTTTGTTGTTGGACGACGGAGTCCAGCCTTCCACGTTGGCCTGGCCTTGGATGAACTTAAGATCGCGCGGACATTGAGAATCACAATATCCCACGCCGTATTGGGCTCCGGCCTTGTTATTGGCGTATTTGGAGACACCGCCATCCTCATCCATGGCGACGAAGTAGAGGGCCCCGTTCAAGCCACAGGGCAAGTTTGACACGTCCACGTCAAAGGTGAACTCCTGATTCAGTAGCTTGAACATCTGGTAATGTGTATTGTCCGCCATCATGTACAGACGGGAGCCAACGTTGGCGCCATTTGAGTTCTGCGTCACAAAGTTGAGGCGGATCTGGCTGCCACTAGTGGTGACTCCGTAGGTCGATTCATAGTCTGCTCCGTCGACGGCACATTCAGTGGCACAGGTCTCGTCGGTATCGCAGATGGAGGTGTCCCACGTATTGCCGGTATAGCAGTTGGTGGTGCTGCCAACCTGGTGGACCCATCGCCAGTTTGCATCCATAACGACAGAGCCCTGGTTAGTGGTACAACTTCCACCGCTGGTGCAGGTCTGCCATGTCATCGAAGGATGGGTCTCAGTGGTGTATGTGCCTATCTGCTGCGCCTGCGTAACAGACGACAGGAAGGCAGCCAGGACCAATGCATTCCTGTAGATTTGGAAAGAAATTGCGGATGCCATTTTGATGGTTTGATGTTGTCTGGCACAGCGACGATAGACATTTCACTACAAGCTCTCGACTGCCCTTTTATATCCTCATTTCTTCCCCGTGCATGCTCAAGGATGGCAAGAGCATCTACTGAGACGGGTAACAGGACCGCGAATCCGTTGAAAACTGCCTGAAATCGCTGTTCTCGATGCTATCACCGTGGTGGAAGCGGTTAGATGTTCATACTCCTCTCTGCGCCTCAAGGAAAAGCATCTTGTTCTCTTACTTGCCGATCACTACATGCAGCAGGACTCACTGCAGACCTGCCCTTGTCGTAACAGGCAGGTGACGGGAACCCGGGGCGATATCCTGGGGTAATTCTTCACAGCCTGAGTAGTCCTCGGGAAGAAATGGGTGCAATTTGTCAAGACAGTGTCATGATTCGTGCGAAAACGGGCGACCTTATCTGAAGAATGCGTTAGACAATCTCTATGGTGCCTTGTTACGGCGCTCCATTCGCTAGATTCATGTCCGAATCCCCCTTCACGGGTGCATTTAGTAGGTGTACTCCGGTACCTGAACAGGATTCGGAGAGTAGGGCAGAATTTTCCCAAGCGGCTGCACTGCTTCCTTCTCTTCACTTAGATACGTACGTCTGGGGAAGAATAGATTAAGCTGATATTGCTGTCTGCACGGATGACGCGGCCCCACGCCCGGCTAGTCCTGGAGGCGCTTCACATGCCCAGACGGCGAGGCAGTTTGTAATTCTGCAGAAGTGGCCATTCGCGCCCATCTATCAGATTCAGGATCTGGTGTAGTTTATAGTACAATAATGTGGCATAGGGTGGTGAATACAGGGTGGATTGCTTCTTGACCTCCGTGTCCAACGCCAGAGGGAATGAGAGGATGTGGACTACAATATTTACCCCTGCAAGTGAAAGGATTATCGATTGGATTAACTCAAGTCCTCCGAGCTAAGTCGATTTAAACCTGAGACAAAATTGCTTGACCCTGCCGGCAATCGGCTCCAGAATTAATAACGCGTGGTTATTTCCCCGCACAGATGTGATAGTCCCATGCATCTAAGAGTGATAATGCGGAGTATTGTGCTGAGGACTGATGTGAAACATTGTATGAACTAATATGTGAATAAATCTCTCGCTCCTCATTCCCAGAAGCCTCATTTCCAGAAGAATCACGGGCTGTGGGGCCGTCTTTGAGGAATATCTTTCCGACTACCGTTTTCTCTATCAATCTGTTGTGGTTGCAATTACAATCAGACGAAATTACATTGTAAGAATTCTTGAGCCCGGAAAATTATAGACAGGTAGCATCTGCTTGATATGCCTCCGTGCCGAAACGGGACAGGCATACCTGCTGGAATCGACATTTTCACTTCTGTCCAGGTGTTCTAATGGTTCCATATAAATGAATGCCTCTCTCCAGTCAAAACTCAACTCCTGAAGCACATTCCTGCGCCAAGTTCATAATGAGGTTCATACAGTTTTTCACCGCTGTCAGCACTGCAAGCCTTGCTCTTGCTGCACCCCCCAAGTCCAAGACCAAGAGAACGTCGGCCTTCCAATGTCAGAGTCCGGTCCGCGCAAGCAGCTCATTCACTGATTTCTACAGGGTTTGGCTCCAATGAATCTGGAGCAGAGTTCGGAAGCGGCAACATCCCTGGCATGCTGGGCACAGATTACATCTGGCCCAACACGACCGCCATTAGCATCTTGAGGGATGCAGGGATGAACATCTTCCGCGTGCCCTTTGCCATGGAACGTCTCGTCCCCAACAACATGACTGGAAGCCCCGATGCAACGTACATGGCTGATCTGGTTTCGGTATGTCCATGCTTTCGAGTGGCATGATCAATTACTGACGAGTCAGACCATCAACTACATTACATCCACCGGCGCCCACGCTATCATCGACCCGCATAACTTTGGCCGATAGTAAGTCTCCACCTGCCCTGAAACCAAGAACCAACTAAGAGAACCAGCTACGGCAACATCATCACCTCGACCACCGACTTTGCCGCCTTCTGGACCACCGTCGCCACGCAATTCAAGGACAATGATCTCGTCATCTTCGACACCAGTAACCCCTGCCCACCCCTTCCCCTTTTAAGAGTCAGCTAACCCCCACACAGATAACGAATTCAACACCGAAGACCAAACCACCGTCCTAGACCTCAACCAAGCAGCCATCAACGCCATCCGCGCCGCAGGCGCCACATCGCAGTACATCTTCGTAGAAGGCAACTCCTGGTCCGGCGCCTGGACCTGGGAATCTGTTAATGACAACCTGAAGACACTCACCGACCCCATCGCTGATCCAGACAAACTCATCTACGAAATGCACCAGTACCTCGACAGTGATGGCTCGGGGACATCATCCACATGCGTCTCCGCGACAATCGGGCAGGAACGCATCGAGTCCGCGACGGCTTGGCTGGTCGCCAACGCCAAGAAAGCGTTTCTGGGTGAGTTTGCGGCAGGTGCGAATAGTGTTTGTGTTAGTGCGGTGACTGGCATGCTGGATTATATGGAGGCGAATGCGGATGTTTGGCTTGGGGCGGAGTGGTGGGCTGCTGGGCCTTGGTGGGGCGATTATATCTATAGTATGGAGCCGATGACGGGGCCGGCGTATGAGTATTATTTGGAGGTTTTGGAGCCGTATTTTCCTGGGGGGAGTTATACGGCGACCTCGACTGCTACGGCGACTGCTACGAGTTCAACCACGACAGCGGTAACAGGGACGTCCACTGCTGTTGCGCAGCATTGGGGACAATGTGGTGGTCAGGGCTGGACGGGGCCGACGACTTGTGTGTCGCCGTATACGTGCCAGGTGCAGAACGCCTATTATTCACAGTGTTTGTAGGTGATTGCGATACGCTTCAAGGTGTAGATAGCAGGTTGGCAGCCGAAAATGGGCTGTGTTGAACGAACTCCACTCTGTGCATACATGGATCCAATTTAAGGATGGCTAGCTATCCTAGCGTAAACATCTGCAATCTCTCCTCTCATCGAGTCCAGGCGACATCGAACAGATCTTCCTTATCAATGTTGCGAGTCTAGAATACCTTAAACGTATCCCAATTGGCCATGACTCCACCAGACGTGGAATACCCTCTATTCTAAATCGAGGCACACACCTTGTCAACATATCAAATGGTTGCATGGAACAACGGCTCTTTACACCATACCTCAGATTGTTGGTAAGGCCTTGTTTGCATTTGCTCCATTGGAGATCGTTCCCCTCCATTGCTGCGCCCCAAGTGCTCGGTGAAATGAAGCATGGCTGTTCGGATAACCTTCCAATATGTCGTCAGCTTACAGGCAGCAATCTTGCCATAATGCCGATAGATTGGATCTGCCAAGACGATGGCGAATGCACTAGTCAGACTATCCCGGGCATCAGGACTAGAATTCATCTCCAGGAGTGGTGACTTCAAAAGGGTGTTGTGAGCCCTCCGATGGTTCGCAATCGGACTGAACCAAAGTCAAGAATCCTAAGATTGATCTTCGCCAGCGTGATGCAGCACAGCCCGATAGATCAGTATCACGCGTACCACTGAGTCTGCCTGCATCTTGAGTCGACCCGGGGTTAGGGCAGCGTTTCAGCCACGCTCGGTATTCTGGCTTTCTATACACTTAGCCTTCCTATGGAGCTGACTGCCTCAATACTAATGTGCAGGAGGCTGTCATGTCCTGATTGCTAGCATGCCCATCGACAGTGCAAGCTGGTCCAGTCGATCAGGGGAGTCATCTTCATGTGCGTCGTAGGCAATCAGTTGCGTGTCCCGCGACTCGGGCGAAGCCATGCTTCCTGCTGGTAGTTTCCATATAGTACTCGAACAATGCGACTTTGTATCCAAGGACGAACGGTTTTTATCTGCTTCGATCAGAACCAACAGCTGGTTGAGTACTGCAATGGCAGATCGCGTGCCTCGGGACGTGAATTCGGCTACTTTTCTGCCAAACTCGGTAGGAATGGGGCTTTCGGCATCTTCCTCGCACTTGATTACCTTCTTATCATACTGGACGATCAAAGGCTCCATTTCGCCTTGGAACTCGACAAGTCTGTCCCGACAACGGGTGACCCGAGCAACCAGCGACTCTCGCTGTATCTCCGACTTCACCCCCCTCTGTGAAATGAAGTCGCGCGTCTGCACAAAAAGCCCCGGACAGAGTACAATCTCGTTGAAAGCGAGCTCCACGATCTCGCTCAGCGGACAGCTTTTCCCCGCGCTACGTTCGAATGCGATCGTGTCGTGGACCATGGCTCGCCACTCAGGTTCCTCCAGAAAGCACGGCTCCTGGGCGACGAGCGCATCTGCGACCAGAAACGAGCGGTACGCCACCAGTAGTGTGCGGCCAAATCCATCGCGGTGCGCCTCGGGACCCCGAAGTCGGAATAGTCTGCCAATTCCCCGGGAATGAGTGAGCCAGGATTTCTCGCCGAGCCCGTCGAGCATTTCGTATATCCCAAGGTGGATGGCAGCCATGAGGGTCAAACTTGAGGTGGCGGTGCGGGGGTTGCGGAGGGAGGAGATCAAGTGCTGCAGACCGCGGCCGTAGAGGTGCCGGCTGGCGAGGATCTTCTCCTGATCATTATGCGCGCGAGCGAGGTGCCATACGCTCAGACTGCGGAGGCTCCAGATCAGGGCCTGCGACGAGGTGTCCAGGTGATGTCGAACAAAGTCCAGCCAGTTGAGCTGGACTCTGTTCCGCCAAGCGGAGAACAGGCCTGGAAAGGAGACCATGACGAAGTACTGGAATACCTCCTTCATCTGGGTGTCTGTTGCTGCGGATGCCAGGCCGGGTGCTAATTTCGCATCCATGCTCGCCCGAGGAATGAGTGCATGAACAGCTGATGGCGCAGCGACATGTTGACTGTCTTTCTGCTTCCCATTTTTAAGAGATGCCGGAGTCTGGTGGTAGAATTTCACTCGGCGCTGATAACCCGAACACTTGACGTTTCTGTCGCGACAACGACGACATTCCGGTCGGCCCTCATCACACTATAGGGGTTGAGCATTAGATATTATGCCATTATTTAATGCGGATGCCCAGGCCATGCAGCTAAGGTAGGGAACCCACCTTGATTCGCCGCTGGATGCAGGTGCGACAGCCAGTGCTGCGCGGTACCCCAACCATCTGTTATGACTCCTAGGGCGGTATCAAGTTATATATGCACCACCGAAAGAGCCTCTATGAACTGACTCCAGATTGCGGGGTGCGGAGCGATTCCGTGATGGTGAACGTTGTCAGATCGAGAAGGCCACAGGGGGAGAATACGAGGCACTAAGCTTCTCCGTCCCGTGTCTGCCTCGGCGACAAAACGAATAGAGGGACAGATGAGGCCTAGATGCCAAGCATCATACCCCACTCTAAGGACAATCAATAATAAACAATCGGTGGCGGTGCACAGTACCCCTACCTCTATATGGAGTACATGCCAGGAGATATTTTCCGGACTCTTCCCGTTTTGAGTGGAGTAGAGCGCATGAACACAGTCAAGATTGCAGCACGTGTATGAGCGTAGGTAAGCAGATAATAATATGTAGGTTCGTGGATCCGGATGACTCAGTCCCTGTCGGTGAGGTGCATGCAGAGGTCGAGATTGTTCCTTGTCCGGAGTTTGTCGATATGAAGCCCACTCGTACTATTGATATTCGATGAGCGTCTTGAGATGATTGACGGTACCCAGAGGGGAGGGAATGAATACCTGTTTGGTATACAGTACCTTTGCTGCACCGATTAGAGGGGAAACGCCATGGAGCACTCCCCCTCCCTAACTGGGCCAAAGGCAACCAGACTCTTCCATTCATGCCATAGCGCATCAACAGCATCTACCGCGGATTCCGTAGATAGGTAAGGATTTTCGTCCTTCCTCCATTGCCTGTTGTCGTGCAAGTTCGGAGCCCTCCGCAATCCTGACAGAAAACCCTGCACCTAACGCGACAAAAGTACGGAGTACAAACGCAAGAAAGTTGGATTTGAGAGAGACGAGCGAATTGTGGGATAGATTTACTGCACGTATCCTAAAAGGCACATAGGATGTGCCAATTACACATGGTCTGATACTCCACAAACGGCGCACACGGGAACATCCGGCGTTCCCGTCCTTTTTGTTTCTCAACTCGTCGTTGATAGACTGTGGTGGTCGGTCAGGCTCGGTCCCACTTGCCTTGGCCATGAGTTCAGTCAAAATCAATCAAATAGACGGTGTTAATGCTGCAGGCGGCCTTGGATATTCGAGTGGACTCCGCAAACAGGACTTTAGAAAGAAGATGAGACGCCGGTGTGGGCTGATGGATGAACTCTAGGCAACCGGGCTGATCCACCACAACCAAAGCGGATCAGACCAGTTTCATTTTCAAATCATATGAACCCTAAATCGTAGCAATTCGACTATTGATATCGAGTGCATATATGAAGAGCCGAGCGAAATCAGTGGAACGTATGACGTGGCAACACATGGGCCGCCGCCCGTGAGATGACCGAAAGATCTGGTGGAGTGTAGACATTCAGTCTGAGCTGAGTGGTATCTACGTATTTGGTGGAGAGAAGGATTGGAGCTAGACACGGAATTATATTCCGATATTAGCTAACATCAAAATGACCAGGTCGAATTACAGACAGAAGATGTGAGCATTATTGGTACCTTATTAATTTCTCTGCCTTCATAGTTGATGCACTTCATCTATTTTTCTTGTAAATATCCACAGTGCGGCCGGGTATCGCTGGCCCGGTATTGTCTGCCACGTGATTTTATTTACAAAACTATTACAATACAAGACGAAATGTTTCAGGTCTACAGCAGCCATGGCGGGTGAATCCTGTTATGTTTGTGTATAAGTGTTACACTGTACTTTACACTGTACTGAAGGTAAGATACATAACGACAAGGCATCCTTCATAGTACTGCCCATCTGATGGTCGATAATGGCCAGCCTTTTGATAAACTTCAATATCACCGTGGTCAATGATATCAATGGCCAGTCTAGAGGGATATACTTTCAAGCCAAGCCGAGTCACTCAACCGTGACACAAGTCAAAAGACATCCATGTACTATCCACTCAGTCCGTACCCATCCGTACCCACATTAGTACCACCAGTCAGAAAGCACAGTGATTCTTCAGGACGGGCGTTGTAAACGACCGCGTGTGTGAGTGGCTCTCCATGACCTTAACCTTCCCCATCCAGACCTACATCCGACGCCCCGCGGGTGCAGTTGAACGCTTGTGGACCGCTCTAGCGGAGTCTAACAGCCGCTACCCTTGAACAAACACTGTATCTCTCCTAAAATGGATAATGACACCCTCGATCGACCTTAGGGCCTTGTAACCTTGTCGTCCTAGTCAGGTTAGGAAGTCGGTCGGCGATTCGGGATCTATCCCACATGTGCACAAAGTACAATGCATGATTTCGGTTCTTTCTAGGGGCGCTGAAAATCGAGCATCCATTTATGGGAAATAATAAAGACAAAAGGACGGAAAACATAGCAGTGCATGATAATGCTTCTTGCCGTATCGGAAAAGTCTAGACTCTCGTCAAACCGAGTGGCAGATAATCTGTATGGTGGACGCTAATGAAGGCTGCACGAGTGGCCGACATTCAGGTACTTAAAAGGATCGAGCAATGCACGGCAGTTTGACTAGTCACATTCTTCCTTGACAATCATTATTATTCTTCTTCTTCTCGATCTTCTCTGCGAACTGCACTAAATAACGCTACGTTTTTTTCAAGTGTCTTTCCCGAGTTTATCTTAACCAACATTTGTTCTTTTCTGGTTCTTCCCCATACCGACCAGGAAATCTTATTTTTTGCCCTTTGACTTTTCCGTTCTTTGTTCTCTTCCATCCCTCGGATCTTCCTCCACTCTACCACCATCTCCATCGTCAATCACATCACCATCACCACCCGCCATCATGGCCAGTCCACCACCACAATTGAATACACAACCACAACCACAACAGCAGAGTCCAAGTGTCATCGAGCCTGATGTTGGTTGCCTCATCTCAAGATCTACCTCTGCTTTGGGATTAACGGATGAGTAGGACTTTGGCGATGCCGACTCCGCCTACAATGGCTCGTTAGTCGCCTCTCTGTCGCAATCTCCGGTACCCCGACTAACATCACTACCAGTCTCGGCGACGCCAGCTACACTACCAGTATCACATCAAGTGCCATGAACTACACGTACGCATGGATCTCTTCCTCTGTTTTTACCTTGCAGCAACTAACCTAGCCGAATCAGCTACGAGGTACCACCTCTGCTGTGTTTGCCGCAGGCAATATAACTAAACCCGCATTAGAACGGTCGCAGATATCATTCCTTCCACGAGGGTGAATATGTGCTGGTATATCCCCCTTCCTTGATTGCGACGGTTCATAATGCGCGAACGCTGACCGCTTAGCCCAATGACGAGCAAGAACAAGACCGCCTGGACCTGGTTAGTGCCGACTCGACTTTGCCCCTTGACCGGGGTCCGTCCTTAGCTAATCGGTCGTCTCTCCACTAGAGCCACCACATCTATCGCATCATCCTCAAAGGTGAACTGCACGCCGCACCGATCAAAAACCCCCGACGAGTGTTGGATATCGGAACCGGTACTGGAATATGGGCGATTGATTTTGCGGAGTAAGCAACTCTTGGATCATTTGCGACGGGAGACAATCCACTAATGTGGTGCGACAGCGAGCACCCCGAGTCAGAGGTCATTGGTATGTTTTGGATTGTGGGAGCGGAGGTTGCAAGATGACTAACAGAGTGGCTGCTATCAAGGAAACGATCTCAGTCCCATCCAACCCTCATGGTACACCTTCCTTTGACCTCTCTGGTCGGACAGTCCATTAACTTCCTTAGGATCCCTCCCAATTGCCGCTTCGAGGTCGACGACTTCGAATTACCTTGGTCCTACAGCCAACCGTTCGATTACATTCACGGCCGGGAACTCGAAGGAGCCATCCGCGACCATGACAATCTTTTCAGACAAGCATACGAGAACCTGCGACCCGGTGGCTGGCTAGAAATGGCCTCCATGGACGTCAACTCGTATTCCGACGACGGCACCCATCTCAAGGCCGTTAACATGATTGAGGGGATCAAGAACATGCATGCAGCATCGAAGAAGCACGGAAAAGACTTTACAACGGCGGGAACGTGGAAAGAGAAGATGGAGAAGGCAGGTTTTATTAACGTCCGCGAGGACATCTACAAGGTACGACTATGTCATACGTTCCTAGTCAAAGCCATACTGACGGTCCCTGCAGCTCCCCCAGAGCCCCTGGCCCAAGGACCCGAAGCTCAAGGAACTCGGTCGCTACCACCAAGTCAACATGTTCGAAGCCGTCGGCCCCTACTGCTTCGCCCTGTTTACAAGGTATCTTGGCTGGTCGCGTCCTGAGATCGAGGTCCTCGTCGCGGGTATGCGCAAGGAACTACGCGATTACCAGACCTACCATCTCTACACCAAGGTCCATATGGTTTACGGCCAGCGGCCCGAGACGGATTGATGCGATACGGGCATGATATATACCTTCAGTTGAGCGATGCTTGATGACCCTTTACTCTCGGATTACTTTTGATCGTCTGTGCTATTGAGCATGTTAAATCTGATTCCCACATTTTTGTTCATAGCTATGACAGCGTATTACTAAATAATTGAAACGACTTCATTTACGACTAGCTTATTGCCTTTACTGCATTGATCTTTGATAACAGGGTTCCGGAGTGTTTTAAGGCCTTTCCGTCACAATGGAGACGGCTCCAGTATCTATCCACTAATTGACGATGCTGACGATAAATCTATCGTCGTCGTCGCTAGATCGCGGGATAATTCGTCTTCACAGGATCATGCCCATAAGTATGATGCAGCTTCATTGAAAGAAGTCAGATTATATTGCAGTGTCAACTGGCAGATACTGAACTGCTGCCCTAGCGAAGGTGCCTCCATTTCTAAATGCACCCAACAATTACTGCTTCTTGGCCGCGGATAGACAATTCATATCGTCACTAGGTACCTCCTCGGACAACCAGTCCACGATTGATCCGAAAGGTAGCACCTATGCCAGCTTATTAGATTCTTTGGTTTTCGAGATCTTGCGAACGATGGCATTGGATATTGCTTGGGCAGAGAGTGGTGGTTGATTCCACTACACTGGGAAGACTTCGACATGATATTCCAGAACTGAGTGATCCGCTTCGACATTCCGTGAAGAACTTGTAGAACCCGCGCTTCTAAGCTCTCGAGTAGAAGAAGGTGATGAAGAATGAGTGAGGAGGATCGAGGTCTCGCATTCGGGTACAGATATCCCTTTGCATTTTTAAACTTGCTGCGTTGGGGGTTTTGTAACTGAGCTCCTACACGTGGTTAGATGCAAGAAGGTAACAGGACGTAACATACTCGTGTTTGAACTTAGACGCTCATGTTCTTGGTCACTTACAACAGACCACCGATACTCCCGGGTGATTTTGTTATAAGTGATGTAGTGGCAAAAAGCTGCCGATTTTCGCGAATCGCGCAACACTCAGAGCTTCGGATGTTGGTAGCCATTGTGAGGTTCCTGGTGGTTCGGCCCTGGGTGTCCATTGAAGAAAAGCTTCCAGCTCTTCACATTCTGTGTACAATGCCTGCTACTGATGACTGGTGTTCTGGGTCCCTCCGAGAGAGGGTAGCTGAATACAAATATACCGAAGTAACTGTGGGCCTCTTCGAGAGTCTCCGCATCTTTGCCTCAATCACAGCTAGGTTACGTGATGGCAAAGTTGGGATATCCAAACGCCGCTGTGTCATGGATAGCAGTCGCTGTGGATGGTTAATCTGCTTCGCGCGCTCTTTGGGCTTTTCAGGGCTGAGTGCTGGTGTCAGGGTACTCATGAGCGGAAACACAACGACGAAAGGTCCCCGCGCCGTTCGCGCAGGACTTGCAAGATTCGGTATACTCAACTCCGCGGCGATAGAGTAATATCGCGTTCTGATGAGCCTCAGATGTAACGTCCTTGACAACATCGGCGCCGTTACGGGATACCGACTCCAGGTCGCGCTCGGTATCGAGAAGCTTTACCAAACTCTGTTTTGGATCTTATTCAGAGCGAATGGTCCTTCTCGCTGCTGGGAAGCCACCGCACCTTCACGATTGGTAAGCGTGATGGCCATTGGGAGAATGGGATGATCGAGATTGTAACGACTACTTGCAAAAGACGAAAACGAGAAGGAAAAGGAAGGGACTGCAATAGTCCAGTTATTTGCACGAGAAGTAACCGAGCCAGGGATTAGTCAAAGTCATTTCTACGTCATGTACTCTTCAATTGAGAACTTGTAATCTCTTCTCGGCTCATGGAATCGTGTGCTCTCCGGGTTCGCATTCAGTACCCCTTGTTCTTCAGCTGCATTCTTGGCTTTCTTTAGTCGATGGATTTCATCTGACATGATGAGAAGGAGGCGGCATTCGTCCGTTTCATTGTCTGGTCTGTGGCATGACAAGGTGCATAGTAAGGTCAAATGGTCTCGCGCCGTAAGGGATTGTTCGGTTGGATGGGGTGTCCTGGGTAACCCATCAAACTGGCCCCGATTGTACCATGCTTGGTCTGCGTTGTGCAGAAGGGACGACATTGCTGTAGCCCTGAAGAGATGCCAGGAAGGAAGTCTGGTAAACAAGGGAAGACGGCGTTTTTGGCTCTCTCGTGCTGTTGAATCTAGGACGCCGTCCGGTCCCAATGTCCCGACATCATTTCCAATTCGATATCCAATCTTGAGAAGGGGTTCAGTGCTCGCATGTATCTGTGCAGAGATTCCTTGGCGCTTCTCAGGTCTCTTCATAATTCCCCTTAATGTCCCCTTGCAATGTGGGACGATATATTGAGTTCTCACCCGCCTGGTTGTGTTGGCAAGCCCCGTTCGACTTTGTCCTCTCTCCTGTGGACAACCCCATTCCTCTGGTTGATACGATAGTTGAGCACGGCAGTTACACAGTTCTCATAGTCTTGGTCTCTGACCGCCGGATACTCGTCATGGAATGTCATCAACGTATCATACTTGGATGCCAGCGTAAATCAGCAGTGGCACCACCGCACACGGGCACCCGACGTTTGTAGATCCTTGAGATATGTCAAAGTAAATGAAGACATATAGTCCAAGGCAGCGAAAGGAAGTCCAGAATGAACTATATGTCTTGCTGTGCCGCTGGCGTTTGAGCAGCTTGTCGCTCCCATGGTTCAATCTTATTGCCAATCCAATAACCAATTTCGAGAAAAAGCTCTGGGTAGCCCGCTCGCTGTCGCATTTGCATGATAGTTTCACCTTGCGCGATGCAGGCGAGACTTCCATTCGACTGTCCCGGGGAACGTCTTCGATACTGGGACCCCGCCCTGGTCTTCCGGGGCTGGATTCCGTAGAAGAACTCGAACTCGCTTAGGGAAGAGAGAGATTATCTCCTGTGATAGCTCGACTTATCATATTGTTGAAGAGCCCTGAATAAGGCAGCGGACTCAGGGATATCACCTGCTTCAGTTGCAATGGAGAAGAAGGTTTCAACGATATTGGAAACCCGGATGCAAAACCTCTCCATATTCTCCGCTATATGCATGGTCAGTATGAGTATAATCCTAATTGATCAAGGCATTCTTACTTGCGATATGGTCATCGACATCCATGTGCTCGGATGCTACCGACTGGTTGTCGTCATCATCTTCTGTGTCCTCGTCGTCGTTGTCGAGTAGCGCCTAGACCTCCCAGCGTTTCTATGAGGCCGGATGCGACCGCCAAGTTGGGAGCATCATCCAGCCCCTGGACCTGGGCGTCCCGAGCTACATACCGCCGGGAGAGCTCGAATACGTTGGCCTGCTCATTTACAGAGCCTGGTGTTCGACAACTGTATACGTTAGAATCAGTTTAGTAATAGCGGATCTATTGCCTTGGACTTACTCTCTCTTCTTGAGTGAGCTTCTCCACCGGGGTCCGGCGGGGCTCCCGACCAGTTCGAGCTGCTGGACTCCGGCGGAGAGGTAGCCCCCGTCCCTGGAAGTAAGGACTCTATACGATGTCGAAGCTAGAGGCCCGGTAACTGCTGAGCGTTCGCTTTTGTCGGCTGCATGTTTGATGTCCTGATCCCGCCTAGGAAAGGGGCATGACATGGAGAGGAAAGTTGCAATCATATGTTATAGAGAGACAGAGGAAACAGGCCGGTGAGTTTAGTTTTCTGGATGAAAGGTTTCCATGACTGATGGGGGATGATATGAAAGATGGAGACAGACGGCGATCGTTGGGGTTTATGTAACATAGATGATGGTGGATATTCACTTCAGCAGCATGATTCTGAGACATCTATCAGTCAATATCCTTAGTTATTTGCTTGCCGTTGCCGGTAAATGACTTTATCTTCATGGACAAGGCAGAAAGGTGAATGATCATCTCGGACTGGTCTATTTCGAAGCTTGTTCTCTTCGTCCTTATGTGTAGACACACAGCCTTTCCTGAGTCTCAGGTGTCAGCTATTAAATTCATGCTCAAACCACTACACTACTTTATCCATATGCTGTCTGATCCTCTCCCCGGCATGAAGAAGCAGATGTAGTGCTACTGTCTCCTCCACTGCCTTTCGTCTAATGCATTCTCTTTTTCATCTGAGACACCGGCCTCCGCGGATAGCCCTCAACAGGTCCTTATGCTGACGAGAATTTCGAGTATAACCCCGTCCTTTCCTAGTTCGTGGATGCCTATTTTAATCTCATCCTCAGCCCATTGTCGCTGTCCCAGAAGTACCTCCAGTCTACCAATCCTCCCGGTTATATCGACCATGATTACAAAGGAGTCCGCGCTGTTTTGTTTTGATGCTTATTAGCATCAGAATGGCCTGTTTTGAAATATGTGCTATCATATTCTTCGCGCATGTCCTCATCACGCAGAGTTTCGTATGCTTCGCTGAGCTGATGCCATCATATTAACCATTGCGTAGAAGCTCCTCGACGCACTACGATTACCCGCTGGAACTCGGTAGCTGCGTCGCAGCTTTTGTTTCGATCCGGATGCTTATCCAGAGCCATCCGCTTATAGCCATTGTGATGGTAGCGAGGTCGGCGGACGGCGGATTTCGAGGACTGCATAGTAGTCCCGACGAGCTGTAGTGCGTGACATGGAGACAACAATCAATACCAAAGGAAGGTGGTATCAAGAGCTGTCTGGAAATTTGAAAGACTCGCAGTTGAGGAAACAAAGGAACAAGCTACTTGGGTCGCGTATCACAAAGACAGTAAATCAAGCGCTCAGCATGACGTGTATGTTAAGATGAAAAACTACAACTCGCGACCTACACCACCATCCAGCATCATAAATTCGAGATCGACTTAGCCAAAATGAATGCGATTAAGTTATTCATATTGGATATATGTCTTTACATCAACAAATGGGCGCTAAGGACCAGCACTGGTCGAGAACGAGATGAACTGATCCAAGTATGGCTCCGAGACATCTCATCATGCGATCCTGAAGCGACAGAGCCCGCTCTAGGTGTCTACCCCTGGTATGCCTCAGACTCCGAGTCGTACACCCCCGACATCTTCCAGGGGAACTTTCGACTGAGGCCCCAACGATGCTGGGATTATTACGGGGATCTAGACAATGTGGAGCCTCGACTTCCCCCGGAACCATACCCTCTAGACCCAAAGCTTTGTTCGTTGTCTGATCCATTTGCTTAGAGGCACAAGGATGACTTATGCCGTATTAGCTTCAGCGCTGGAGAAATTAGACAACAGCAGGCGACTACAGCGCAACCCACGGAAATTCGTTCGGGAAAGATGCCGTACTATCCTGTTGCCCTACCTGGAAGCTGCAGTGGAGCGATTTGAGAAGGCTCGAACTGTTGCTGGGAAATATGAGCTTCATTGGTGCACGGCAAAAGTAAAGGACATGTACCACAATTTTGCAATGGAAACGCGGCGGTTAATTGCATGGTCTGATCATACCATCACCTTCACCGACCCGCAGGGGCAGCGAAGAGATCTGCTCGCTATCGTTGTGGCGAAGGAAAGATGCGGCGATGCCTACAATCCTCTGTTGGCTTATATCGGTAAGCTTATTAGTGATGGCCTCTTGCCGCAGACAGCAGGCAGAGAAGAGGAAATGTTAACCTTGGAAATAGGAATAGTTCATAGGAATCGGAAGGACAGAGGCGAAAAGAACAGTGCGGTATATGGGATTGCCACTGATGGTTACACTTTTCAGATCGTGAAGATTGATAACAAGTCCAAGGTAAGATCCTATAGAGTAATTCGGGGGTTACAAGCTCATCATATGTCCAGCTGTTTCAATCTTGCGAGTATTCATTGGACGAAGGCTGGGGATTCTTCCTTAAATATCTTGACGACATCTTGGCAGAGGCGCCTGGACAATGCGAGGAATGATCCGCATATCAGGACTCGGCTGATTCTGAGGTGGTTTCATCCTACACTTTAGATTTCAAGATGAATACACATTTGCTATTTGAATCAGCCATATAACGCAAACGCTTGTAGTACCTTGAAGATTCTTATGGCTGTGAGGACAACTGAGTTCCATATCAGTTATCACTTGGCAATAAACCTATATTTAGCTCAGCAAAGTAAAGTATCCTATTTCCAAGTCCTGCGACGAGCTATTCCTAATCTGGAACTGACAGACATCAATCAGGCCTAGCGCCATGTATAATTCCCCGCATATACCACGTTCCCTGCATGATTGTTGCTGCCTTAACTGTCAAAATCCCTGTCAAATATCCATCACAATGAACATGAACACAAAACTAAAGCCCACTCTAACACATCTACTCCTAACTGTAATCTGTCTCTTCACGCTCACATGCAGTAAGCCCTCACCCGCCCCCAATCCCCAATACGGAGTACTAACCACTACAAACAGCCCTCTACCTCTACGCCCGGCACGAATCATCCACCCACAGCACCACCGCCTACTGCGCAGACTGCATGCACTACGCCATGAGCGTGGACGCCAAGATCCGGCAGGCGGAGGAGGGCGGCGCGGAGAACGTCCGCAACAATAAGCAGCTCTTCCGGTATGCGGTTGATGTGAGTTGTCGGGGTGGGTTGTTTGTAGATAAGCGGTGTTTGGACTTTCGGAGGGGGTTCCTGGGCGATGCGGAGCGGTATATGGTTGCAGTGGGGGAGCCGTACGCGGCTTGTAGGGGGATTGGGGCTTGTAGATAGTTAGCATATTGGCGAATCAATGAGTTTATTGCTTTTAGTTTTCTTGGATATGAATCTTCTGCATACGGCGCGTATTATAAGTATGTATCTTCAATCGCGGACAAGAGAGTAGACTACACCACGCTACTGATAAATCGACAGCACATCAGTCGAATTGTCATAATCCACACCACAGGCCTTCCCAAAATCCCCATACCTCTCCCCCCTTTGCTGCACAAACCGCCCAAACGCCTCGTCGGAGCAACTCTCCCCGGGCCCATCGCGACACCCCACAAGCGGCTGTGGACCCTCATTCACCAGCACGCGGTAGTACACCCCGTCTTCATACCCATAGGAATCACACGCCATCTTCTCAATCGCAATGTTCGTCAAAAACGGTAAGATCTGGCTACTCTTCCACACGCGGCCGTAGTTGATCGTGTTTGTAGGCATGGTCACGTTGACGTCGTCCGCGCCCGTGTAGGCGCTGTTATTGAATAGGCCCAGCGCGGTGAGCACGGTGGGCGGGAGCTCGCGGTGGGTGAAGGAGACGTAGAGATCTTGGTCCGCTGACTCGTCCGCGAGGATGGCTCTCGTTGCGTTGAGCCAGGGGAAGCCGATAGTGGGGGATAAGTCGCGGCCGTAGCCTGTGTTGTGGAAGTACATGAGGTCGTTCCCGTACTCGAAGGCGAGCCATTCGGTTGGGGTGAAGAGGTCGAGGGAGCAGAACGGGGAGGAGCCGCGGATGACGGTCTCGTAGCCGCAGAGCTCGAACATGGCGACGATGTCGTCGGCGGTGAAGTTGAAGGAGGGGGTTTGGGCTTGGAGGCGCGCGATGATGGGTTTGGTGTAGTGGGAGACGAATTCCTGGAGTTGTTAGCTGGAGTTTTGGGTGGAGGTGAAGGGACATACGTACGCTGGACTGCTTGGAGCCGTAGCTGGAGCTATATGCTGGACAGCTTTGGTACGGGGTTAAGGAGTTGGCGGCGGCGTGCTTGTATTCCCCGACCTGGGTGAGATTGATTTGAGTCGTTTCATTGCCGGTGTATCCAAGGATAAACCCCTGTGCGGTCTTGACTGTTCGCTCGGCTGTTGATGTCCATACATTCTTTGGTGTTTTGAAGTCTGGATACTTGTCGTGGATGTTGATGCCGAACATCACCGATTCCTGTAGACCGACTCGGGTGATTTTCTCGAGATGGGCGTCGGTGATAGGCGCCTTCCAATTGCTGAGGAACGAGAGACTTCCTGCTTTGGACCAATCCTGAGTGGTATTTTGTAGCTTCTGGATGAATGGCTCGAGGTAGCTCTCATAGTCAAAATCGTTGGCGTAGATGGCAGCATGACGGACAAGATAAGCTGCGCGGGTGACATTGCAGCCCTGTGGTACCGAGGGGTCGAGTTGAGGGTCATTTGGTGTAAAGTAGGGGGAAATTCCGGCCAGATGGTGGAGGGGATTGAAGTTATTCGTGTTGGTGTCTGCCAGAGCGACAGACCCTAAGGCTAGGAGGAGTGTAGAAAGCCGATGCATGTTGAGATATATAACCACGGCTTATCTTAAGTACACCGCGACTTTCACCGAATTTACTCAATGAATACTCACGCTCAAGTACTAGTTAAATCAGGAGAGTTAATTTATAGATTTGACTTGGATTGTTTATCCATCGATGTCACCAGTGCAGATCGCAATCCAGTTTAAGCATGGATGACCAAGTAACCGGCCGTGACGATGACGCAGTGGATGGAGACTCATCGCATCATCTCCCAACTAATAATCAACCATTAATCTGTTACATATCCACAACTCCAGTCTCTATTTTGACAGATGCTTATTTCACCAACCAAATCCAGGCTATCCAGCAAATGAGCTTATGATTAACTCCGGCCCTACGACGGATCTCCCAAAATAGCTCCAACGCCAGTCGCTGGTTTCCCTGCAAAACCTACGCATACTCAAGGCAACAACACTCGGCCTCCATGAGAGCTCGAGATTACGCAGCTGTCGAAAGCAGGTAGTCGTTTCACAAGGTGACCCATTAACCGGGGCTGGCGTGACAGAAATCAGGCCACCGCTTCCTCTATTAACCTGCGTATGGCGAGTTCACTGGCGTTGGCCTACCTAATCCATTATAAATAGCGCCCTGTGTGAGGGACAATCATTTTCGTGCCTCGCGTCCATCCACCTCATGGATGACTTCTTGATTTGACTGCAACTCAGAGACAATTCGCTGAGCACCACTCGACGGATTCGAATACCCGGATTGAGCATATGTCATATTGGCAGGACTGTATCCCGCGTATCCGCCAGTCTGCTGCAGTTTCTTCTGATACATCCGTCGTTGGAACCAGAGCGCAAATAGCGTGGCAACCAAACAGGCACCCAGTCCAGCGCCAACCCCCGCCCCGACCGCGGTCGTCTTCGAGCTTGAACCCGCGCAGACTTCCGTACCGTTGCCGGCTGCAGCTGTTGTGGTGACCGTCGTTGTAGCTATCGTTCCGGTCCCGGTGGCTGTTGATGTTGATGTCGACGATGCTGATGTGCTCGTGTATCCGTAGATCGTGCCGATGGTGACTGTCCCCGCGTTATCGCAGCAGTCTGTCCCGTTGATGCTACAGCACCACTGGTCAACACCCTTGGCCGGGCAAGGGAGAAGTTGGATTCCGCCCGACGTAGCTATACGCAAACCAATACATTAAAAGTCGAACTTTAACCACTAAAAATATGTCTATCGCACTTACAGCCAGAGCAAATTTTCTGACACTGGCTGCTCTTCCCGGTTGGATCGGTACACGCATTCTGATATATCAACCCGGCGAAGCCCTGCATCTGTGCCAAACACAGTCCACTCGTTAAACAGATGTCGTTGGCCATGCTCTTGGGCTTGTTATTCGCGCAGCAGGGGCTATTATCTTGATCCGGGAAGCATGGCTGGAAACTGCCGTCTGCTTTGCTACCGTCGGAGTAATAGCATTGTGCTGCGATCGTGGAATGCGTCCATTGTGTTAGCAGAAGCACCAAGGCGAATGATGCCGATGACGATGAGAAGAGCATTTTGACGAGTGAGGTCCCAGTTTAGGGGTCATGTCAGCATGAGAAAAATTTCTCAGCCTTACGTGCGGACGAAGGGCGTCGTGGGAATTTATTCAGCCATGATTCATGAACGGGTCTCTGGCACGTGGGTCAGGTAGGGGGCATAAATCCAACATCTTGGCTAGGAAATCATTGGATGAGAGTCTTGCTAGTGTCGAATTGGAGAAAGGAGCTGCTAGGATGAGGGACCATGGGGCTGACAGTAGGAAGGCTGGGCATGGGTTCGGGGCTGTATCTGCGGCTTACGGAGACGTCAGATGCGCCAATCAACAGTTCGGTTTGCAGGCTGAATATTCCAAATGCGTTGAGAGAGTAGGACAGACTCTCAACTAGAGCATTGAACAGCAGCTGACAAATCAAAACCAACACACACAGACGAACTGGTTCGACATGATGCTGATCATACTGGAACAAGTGCACGCTTGGGCCCTAACATGACTGGTGTCGAGCTAAGTGGGCAGTGCAAAGCCAAGAACAAGCCTAAATTGTGGTCTGTTACAAGTCAACCAATCAACAATGGACTTATCGACCCTTGTTTGGGGGCCGAATTGTCCATCGAATCTTCAGCTGTGGATGGCGCCGCTTATCTCACTTTCCACGCCTCCGTTCATCAATTCGTCTGTGAGCTATGGCAAACCAACAAAGGAATACAGCACAGATCATCTTCATTAGCTATCTCCCAACAATAATTACGGGGTACATTCTCAGTGCAATCAAACGTTCCTCAGTGGCAAAGACATCCGAGAGCTGTGACTAGAGGCCTGAAGTTCTTCCGGCTGGATCTTTGCAGATCAGAGGGTCCACTCTGGTTTGATTTAGATTATGCAACAAATCGGGTAAATCTTCTTCTTTTCGGAGACTGTCCGCATCGTCAGTTCAGCAAATTTCCTGGCAGATCCTTTAATCTCATGCTCTTCCTGTCCATCAACAGACTTGGGAGCCGCGTCTTCTACTCGACATTGTCCAGGTATATGCGTCGTGTATGATGGTTCAAGATAAGCAGCAAAGACCAGTAAGTGTGCTTTCCTGTGAGAGAGGGAGTTCGAGGCATAGCCTAACCGTCCCACACGTCGTTTGCTTGAATGGTCCTTGCTTGACAGGAAACGGACTGGACAGATGAGGAAGAGCAATGGCATAAATGCCTATGCTCTTGACGACCTAGTCGACAGATAATGCATCACATTGTAAATAGAAGAACATATATAATTTTGCTTCTGTAAACTGCTTTGGTTGAGGTGCCTTGACCAGATGACTGAGTAGATTAATTAGAATACATCAATATATCCACCATACTTGAGATTCAATGGTTGTTTTAACTATATATTAAAATAACTATCTCTGGTAGTGATACTAACTTTTCCTACTTTATCAGTAATGCTTTAGGATAGAAAAGGTAACTAGATTTACTATATTATGCCTAAACTAAGGATAAAGAGTAGCTTTATATCTAACACAGGCGTCATCCCTAAACTAAAAAATACCTTTATAGTAAGATATCTGTTATAGTTATTAGGTATATAACAAGCAGTGTTACCCTCTAAGAATGAAATTATTAATATAACTTTAGAGAAAGTATTTTATAGACTGGAATATCAGGTCTACCTATCTCTGGATATGGGGAATAGAGTTAATAAAGCCTATTGGGCAGACATGGGAGTACTCTTGACCTCTACTGGTAAATCACTTGAAATCTGGATGGATGGGTCATTGATAAACCATTGCGGGGGCATCTATGATTGAGATGTAATGCAATGAACGCGTGACTAAAATGGCGACGACCGAAAGTGATGCGTGTAGACATGCAAAAGAAACCATCATTCTTCATCAGAGATGGGTGGTCTGTCGTTCAGCTGGTCGCTGACGTAGTCTCTTATGTCCTTCAGTCCGTCGTAAAAATGCCATGCGCCAAGGTCCTCAATAACGTTGCGTTGGATGAGGTGCCCGCATATTGTGGATAGATCAACTGTCTTTGGAGGATCTCCTGCCACACCCTTCCGATGAAATCAGCATAACTCTCAGTGGTCCCAAGATCTGCTGATCGCCAGTTGGTTTGCTGCTTGCCAGTCAACGATAGCTTGGCTTTGGCGATCGATGGGTTGGTGGAGTTGGTCATCGATGGAAGCGACACGGCCCTTCACTTTATGACTCTCAGTGGTCCCGACGGTCTCGATGGTCTCATTAACTCCGATCGGGGGTTCGGGTCCAGGTTCGATTGCTTGCGCTTGTTGAATGTGCTGGGAGTTTTGGTATATTAGCGATAGGGAACAGTCGACGTGGTTCAGACGCAATGACTAGGCTTCTTTTGCTCCGATCAAGCTCGGGTATTTGGTCGCAAGTGTCCTTGAGGACTTCTACCTGTGCCTCTGAACGTGCAAGGTCAGATCTTTCTAAGTCCATTCGCTCAGTTGGGTTGGACATCTGCTGCTGTAGAAGGTTGGTGTGGCCATCGATAGTTTTACCGCCAGTGGTTCCCGCCCTCGGATAGCCATATTGCGCTTGCTAAACTTGTCCGTGACTGACATGATAGCGATGTACGTGCCTGTTTCTGGTAGGCCGACGACGAAGTTTATTGTTATGGTGTGGAAGGGGATGGGTGGTTCAAATATTCTTGCAGCGCTCTGTAGGGCTTATGGTGCGGCGTGCGCCTTTCCAGGGGGCGCAGTACTTAATGTATTCCATTACCATAATCGTGAGTCGCAGTATGGCCATACCTTGCAGGTTTTCGATTGTTCTGGCAAAGCCAGGATGTCATGCGTGATCATGAACTGTTTGTAAGACGTCCTGCAAGCAGGTGATGGGACTGCAGGGTTCCTCAGTATCGTGTTCCATGGTGGGCATGGAGTATAGGATGCCGTCGCGTGATTCGTATGGTAGCTTGTAGGGCATGGGGATTGTCATGTTCTCCTGTACGGTTTGAAAAACTTTGGACCACTTGGGGTCTTTGGTGTATCCATCCCTACGCTGCTGTTTCCATGTCTTGGACATCTCTATGACGGTAGCATCGGCCATGTAGGCCGACGGTGTAATCCCTCGCGCATCCTCCCGCCCATCCGGCCTATGTGCCTGAAAAAGACACTTCAACTTGTGGCGGAAGCAGTGCGCACAAGCTTTCTCCTTCCGCCCGCGGGAGAAGAACGGGAGCGGAATTCTGCTGTCCGTGTAATTTCTCGAGCTTTTCGAAATGCTTTCTCTGTTTGTTGGATCTCATTCAGTATGTCTCCAGCGCTTTCCTCTTGGTTGATCTTTCCTGTAAACATAACAGGTGAGCTGAGCTAGAAATCCTATAGCAGGAATGGCTGTGGTCCAAGTTCCGACGCACTTCAGGATCGAATTCAAATCAGTATCTTGAAAACTCGCATAATGGATGGCGACGGAAGCCATGCTTGGCACCGGTAATCATTGCTCGCATCAACGTAACGGGGCATGGATGTCGCTAAAGTAGGGGATACCTCGTGATGACCCTGGTACATCACAAGCCGACGAAACTGTTAGCCATATCTTCATGGAAATCATATCAATAGTCATGGACAATCCTACCTGTATTCCTAAGTAGGGGCATACGATGATCTCAGCTGTTTCCTACATCTGGACAGGAGTTACATTTGGGCACATTACCCAACTTAACCTTGAGTATGGACAGAATGCTTTCATCCTCGTGGACAGCACCACATCGTTGATGATAATAGTGAAGCAGTTGGTTCTAAACTCTCATCATTGTGCATAACCATTATTGCGATGTCTCTGAAAAGCTGTCAACTGCTTTCGTCCTGGCATCAACCACGTTCGATGCCAGGTCGTTGGAGAACAGTTGCAACCCGACTTCCTCCATTTGTTTGGCGGTTATGAGCATCAAGTCCAGACGGGAACTGCAAAGAGGCTCGTTCCCTCTGTGATTCCTCACGGCGTTGCTGAATCGGCGGAGCATGCTTGCAGTGTTCCTTGGTCAGTGAACATCATTTCGTTAGAGCATCGTCTTACAAAGTCGCCAGCGACAACGTCCCAATTGAATAGGCTGTGGAAAGACACTGTCGACGTTGAACTTCCTGGCGAGGCCGAAGATCCTTTCAACTTCACTTTGAGCTGTATGGCTGCGAGGACTTTGGCCCTCCCATTTCTTTCCCAGTCCGACGGTGTCACCTAGGACAGCACCTCTGAGCTTGTCTTTGGCTCGAATTTCTAGAAGCTCAGCAATCGCGGTCGGTTGCCAGAATTGGAGCAGGGCACCGCGGTTCATTGACCTTATTCTTGGCTTTTCGGGTTCTTGAGCTTGACCGTGGCACATGCTTCACGATGAGTCTACCGCTGGTACAGCACATTATTGAAAACTTCTGGTGCAGCCTGAACCGTTCTAGGCTCTCCCTGTTGGGACAATTATGCCAGATTTAAAATCCTGCGTGTCGATGTGGCCGGCGAGCTCACTTTCCAGCTCATATGCTTCCATATACTTCGACACCTCTGCGCCCAGCGCGCGAGGCAGTACGACCGCGACTAGTGGGATGGCCCCGGCGACCATGGGCATGAGTGAAAACAGTGCTGGCAGCGGCACGACTGCGACGAGCAGAGGACTGAGTGGTAAACATGTTTCTATACGCAGATCGGTTTGATCAGATCGTGCAGCCAAGCAGCCAACTGTGGCAGCGCCTCCACAACCTTGTTACACTCAATCCAACGTGAGATGGATGCTCGGGCACAGGACCGGGAACAGCTGAAGGCGAAACGATGAGATAGGGGTTACTTCGAGCAGTACGACGCACACTTACATCTTGATGAGCTCTTCTGCTTTTTCGTCGTTGTCCTGTTCATCTTCGACAGACTCAGCAGGGGGATCTTCGACTCTGGACCCTCCTCTGTAATGACCCGTAGGCTGCAACCCTGCGTTCTAGTTCAGTCAGCGGATGTTACTGCAGCCAGTAGGGATTGACAGGTGCAAAATAACAACGTACAAGTCGTCCGACACGGACACTCAGTTCCAGCCTTGGAATCTTCGACGGTTCCCGAGCGATATGTTCAACATATCTTGCCTTGACGCCAGTTCCGGGGTCAATACCAAAGACCAGCTGGGTCTCCGTCTGTCCCTCCGACAGTGGGGCCAGACAACACTGAATTCCCCTTCCAACCAAGGTCTCACACTTCACTCCTAGCCTGAGTGCTCAGGGCAAAAAATAGAAGGCCGGAGAAGCAAAGCTGCAAGCTGAATCAACGCTAGCTTCGATTATACGACCCTGAAGATCCACGCGAGAACACTGAATTAGATGAAGAAAGGAAGATTCGGGGGACCCAGAAAGTAGAAAGTATTGCATCTATTAGAAGTGAATACAATCTCCTGGATTGTAGTGAATACAGGTTTTGCTTCCAAGGCAAGCTATTAGAAGTTTGAGGAGTGAATATCCGAGACAGTCACTGGATGAGTGATACAGGTATTTGTGATTGTAATATCTTAAATTGCCATGTTCTAAAGATCTCCCATTTGCAAATCTTCCAATTGGGCCACTATGCGAGTCCACTGGTATATTCATCATCTAGTCCAGCTATTTGATACATGGATGTGCTATGTGGCATGCCTAGAAATAAGTGCCCTAAGCTAAAATTGCTGTAGCAACTGGCATATAGACCTAGTAAGCAAAATTCGAGTGAGGAAAACGGCGCGTTTTGATATTCTAATGATCCGTAGAGTAATACAGTCGATAGACTCTATCATGTCCGAGAAATGACCGCATATTCTTCACTGTCATGCCAAGATCTCCGCCAAGCACCGTTCGCAGGCCAAGAGCATTGGCGGGGAATTTCTCTGCTCTACTGGGGCCAAGGTGGATCAACGCAGAGTATCAGCAGCACGCTCATTCCTCGGGAGAATGAGCCATGATTTCACGGTGGATTCTCCTAAAGTTCGATCTCAGACCAATTTTGGACATTGAGACGAGAATATGTTGAACCGGATGTCTTCCTCTGGGCCGACGTCATTAATGGCTACGGCACGTGACATTTACCCATTGCGGCGGATTCCACCATATTCAACCTCAACGTGCCTATAATTCCTTGAGCTTGAGGATATAGCTTCTTACAGCTTTTCCAGGCGGAACTAGAGAAAGGACATGGCAGGCAGTTTCCTGCCATATCACGAGCCAAGTAGTAAGTCAGGCATGCCGGTCTGCGCATATTCTGAACTGACAATGGTACGCAGTCGTCCAGATTTTAATTGTAATCTCATTTTTCTTCTTCCTGTCTCTGGCGGAATGGGTCTCTGCAAGGGTCATCCAAGCCGGAATCATCGGGCAGATTGCAGTGGGTATCATATATGGGTTACCTTTAGCAAATATCCTAGAAGAGCAGTGGCAGGACACGTTTCGCGTGTTGGGTTATGTCGGGTTGATTTTAATCATCTTTGAGGGTACGTCTGGCGCTCGATCGCATTGAATGAAACTGACAGTATGTAGGAGGGCTTAGTGCTCGTCTTGATCTTCTCAAGAGGAATTTTATTCTCAGTCTTCTGGGAGCCGCCGTTGGGGTACTCTTCCCGATTGCTTTCTCCTACTTGCTGCTTTACCTTGGTTTTGGATATGGTACGCCATCCTGCTGTTATAGAAGTATGCTGTATGCCTGGCTAAGCTAAGCAGGACCCGTCGAAACATTCATAGTCGGTGCTGCGTTATCAGCGACTTCTCTTGGTATTTCTTGTGTCTCCTTGGCAGTTTACATCATCTCACACTTTATAGGCACCACATTTGCAGTTATTAAATCTGCAGCTCGATCTGTAGACCTTGCACAGACACGAGTCGGCGCCGTGCTCGTGAGCGCTGCCGTCATTGACGATGTCGTCGGTCTTGTCCTATTGAGGTAAATCACCATTATCTTAAGTAGCGCGAGCCAAACTAATCATCAACAGCATAATAGCCAATCTGGGTAAACTCTCCGGCGGAGGCAATGTCAACCTGGGCTGGATCATCGGCCGGCCCATCGTCGCCTCCGTCGCCATGGCTGTCCTCACGCCAATACTCACAAAATACGTCTTCGCGAGGCTCTTCCGACGGTATATCGAGCATGCCTTTGCGCAGTTCGATCATGTCTCGAATATCATTCTTATGGTGCTGGTCCTTTGCGCGTTCATTACCATCGCGGCGTACGCGGGCACCTCTGTTCTTTTTGGCGCATTCCTCGCCGGAACTTTCTTGACTTATATACCCAGCAAGCATCCGTCGGGTCCGTTTGTGGTTATGAGTCGCGAGGAAGGAGAACGCGAGGCGCATAAGAGCCCGACATTCGTACATACCTTTGAGGTGTACTTGCTGGACGTGCAGTCCTATCTGATGGAGCCGCTCTTCTTCGCTAGTATCGGGTTTGCCATTCCTTTTGTGCAGCTCTGGACGGGGGAGAGGATTTGGAGGGGAGTGGTGTTTTCCCTTTTGATGGTTGTTGCAAAGGTATGTACTCCCCAGCCGTTAGCCATCGAGCCTATCCTGACTGTCTAGTTCGCCGTCGGTATCTGGCTGCCGCTGTGGAAATATCTTCCACTTCTGTGGCCTCCCAAGCGGAAAGGATTGTCCAAGGAAGGAAATGGTGCGCAGGAGCTGCAGAATGACTCGAGAGAGAAAAATGGAAGGTCACATTCCAACACTACCTGGTTGTCTGGGCTGCTCTTGGGCTCTGCGATGGTAGCACGCGGTGAGATTGGTCTACTCATCATCGAGATAGGGTTTAACGAGACATCCTATGTGAGTGAGGCTGCCTTCATTACTGGAGTTTGGGCGATTCTCCTCAATACCATCATTGGACCGATGGCCGTTGGGCTGCTAGTCAAGTTCTATGGAAAGAGGATTGGAGAGGGTGAATGGGGACTACAAGAGCCAGAGCCACTGCCCGGGCATGATGCTGAACACAGGCCGGAGGAGGTATAACATGCTTTGGTCAGAGGAAGGCAGAGTTGTTGTGATTGTATATACTTAGGTGCCCACTATCCCATGTTCATTAAATTAATAGTTACTCGAGGTTGCGACTAAGAGCAGATATTATAAAAAAAACCCTCTGAATCCTTCTCTCCTGCTCAGCTAATTTTCCGAAATCTTATGCGAGTTTAAAGGCATGGTTGCTAATTAATTCAAAAAAATAAGATGCGGTCAAATCTGAAGAGGGTGGCTGCTTGATTGGAATGGCCGCTCGGCTGTGGATTACATTAACTGTTACCTCCTCTGCCCTGTCCAACTCTGCACAGCCCAGCACAGCCGCTGGCCACTTGGGCACCTCCGCAGACCCTCTGTCGCTTGAGCGACTCTTCCGACGACGCAGACGCGGATCAGGTGACTCATGGAATGAGGCGGAAGTGTGGCCATAGTCAGTAACTTCATCTTCTTCCCCCACAATCATCGAATCCAAATGGCTCCTACCGTGGCCAAGGCAGCCGAAATTGACAACAGGCACTTTTATGTACTTTCTACAAGTCCAACTCCGTATGTGGTGACGCCTGAAAGATCGCGCCAGTAGATGATTCCAAGTACTTCTGCCCAGCGAAGCCCGGGAAGGTACTTGCTGATTGTTACTAAAGTCCGATTATAGTTGGCTGGGTGTGTCTTCAATAGTATGGCTCGCTTTTGCAAGGACAGCCTCTTATAATTTCTATCTAACTTTGAAGCTCTCCCTGTCTCTAACAGATATATAGGCATATTAAAGAGCCAGAGAGCATTGTGGCACTGAAAACTACTAATAATAATGTGAGTTCTGCTGGTTATAGTAGAAGATGAAAGAACATGTTTCTGCAATAGACCCATGGCATCATAGTTGCTTAGTTATCCAAACATTACTAGATACTCTTGGAGTTAAGGTCCGGAAGGTCCTTATTTGTATCTCGTATATTTGCCTATGAGAGAGTTGTTGTTGATGTATTAGTAGTGCTCTGGTGGTAGAAAGATGCTACTGCCCCTCATCAAAACATGCATTTCTGCTGATTGGATGCTGTGCTTACTTGAGTACTATCCATTGTGCAATAATAATGTTATAAGTATTACAGTGCTCTCCCACTTTGCCAATGCGCTCTACTACAAAATAAAATAGCCAGGTTATCCGTCACTATCCCTCGCCTTAAGCAAAGGAAAATTTTTGGATTAGATATACTAAAGCCTTGACTACAGTCTATACAACGCATTAATTTATCTTAGGGCCAACGAATCCTGAATCTAGGAAATAAGCATACTACATTCCAACTATCTCCAGCCCGATATGCGATCATAAAGCCAATACTAGGAGGTCTACCGGATCTAGTGGCCCCCCAAATCCCATGTACGATGTCTTTTCCGGATACCGTCCTTTCTGCATGCACAGATTATGTACTGCAGTACAAAGTGCAAGAAATATATGGATGTTCAAGCGAGCCACCACACCTGGTCCTCCAGAGAATCCTTCCAAAGAAAAGGACATGCAGCGTCCACAGGCCAATCCTTCCACTCATTTAACTGAGTCGATATGCATGAATAATCCTTGATGCCCACGTAAAGGGTCTGGATGAACCCCGTAATGAGATAGCACGGATAAATGAAAACATGCATTGTATACCACCCAAGATTCAAGACACCAGTTTCAAAAAAATAAAGACAATAAACACCGAGGGGGAGCAATACGAAGGGTACTGGGAAAAAAAGCTGGATTAGAGAAGCCACTGATTCACCAAGAACGCGGGAGCCGTAATCATAGAGCTCAAAGAGGCAGGCAAAGTACGCGAAGAATGAAAGTGTCACTAGAATACCTGCCACAAGTGTCGTTAAGATAAATGAGAGTATCAACGGGGGCATTACCAGGCCGCCGCCGGGGCATCTCTGCGTGTGGCCGGAATCTAACAGACCGCGAAACTCCTGGATGGGGTGAATCCTCCCACTTGCGTGAAGGATCAGGCAGGATGTTATTGAAAGCGCGAAGAAGCAGACGACAGGGCTCATGGTTGTGTCCGGACTCTGCGATAGTATGGGGGCGCGACGGTGCCCCAAGCATATCATGACTCTCTGGATTATGGTACTCACGGGGCTCCGAGCGGGTTTTGGAGGTCTGAAGCCTGGAAATCGCAGCGTGACACCGAGAGTCAGGAGGCCGACCAAGGTTCCACTCGCGGCGAGCTGGAAAACCTTCTCATCGATCAAGGCGATGGAGTCAGGCCCGTGTGTCTTCCTGCGGTGGTATAGGAGGAGCGAGAGGCTGCACTGGACAAGGAATGCAATGGTGACGAGGGCTCTCCCGAGGCGCCTGAGAGCTCTTTCCCCGAACTTATGAGGACTCTCTCTAATTTGTCCTAACTCTGATTGTGACTCTTGCCCTGTCTCTGTTGATGGCTCCTTAAATTGCGCGATTAGCGACTCCACAGGACGGATCAGGTCTGTTTCGATGCTTGGGTATCTCAGGTCCCTGATGCAGACGAGCGGGATGCGCATGATGAGCGTCGCAGCTGCGATCACATGCTGGGCGATGAAAACCAGGGGTGCGCAGATATAGAAGACTGGTCTAAGGTTTAGGAGGTATTCACCGCGGAGGTTGAGAAGGTGGAAGAAGGCGCCTATTGTTGTGAAGTGGACCACAAAGAGCTTAACAAGCAACTGAGATTTTGTTCGCCGCTCGTCCAGGGGACAGAGAGGCTCGCTGCTGCGAATGGCTGGGATTGTGGTGTTCATGGTGTGGTAGCTGGTCAATTCGACTGAATGATGGGGAGCTGAAGATTATTTGAAGGCTGGAAAAAGAAATATGGATTGTGGTGGCTGTGGCCTGTATCAAACATTATTGGCGTAGGCGGAGGCAACTTGTAGCACCTCTTCGATACTCTTCTGTATCCGCGCCTTTGGATCTTTCGGCGCATCTCGCTCCATAAAGTGGATTGAGTCGTGTATTTGCCCATTGAGGAGATGGAACCGGGCTGATTGAATCAAGTAGATGGTTAAGGTAAATGTATCTGAGCCGCGGGCTTGTGGGTGAAAGCGGGACGGAACAAAATATAATCGCAAAGGTGCTAATAGATACAAATGGACTCCAAAAGAGACCCTGCCAACTGCCCGAGAATAATCACTAACCCATCTGCCAGATAGCCCTCTTCTCCTTGACTATCGCCAACACTCCAACGGGGAGGAACCCCTTGTCGACCAGACTCAATCCCCCAGCCATCTTAAAGGTTCTTCAGCATATAAAACCTTTTCTGATAAAATTGATTAACTAGGACTCATCCAAGCAACCAGGATATATAGAATCCCAGAATCCCTTCAATGGCAAAGGAGATTATAATTAAAGAAAGATAGTCTAACTATTTCATCTATCCTGTAGGACCTGTAGTTAGAAAAGACTTTCTATATTATCTTAGTATTTGTTTATTGTAATAAGAATACAAGATTAGCCCAGGTAACTTAGGCAAGTAAGTACTATACCTGATTGAGTACGACGACCAATAGATGGTCTTGTAAGCCAACCAGTGAGACTATTCATTGTTAACGTCTCATTGATGTTCTCATTGGTCGAATCAATCGAGAAGTCCGTATTTGCAATCTATACGCGTCTATGATATTCGACAGCACATCATGCTCCTTGACATCCAGTCAAGCATGTCGGGGATCGGACAACGCAGACCGACGCCGTCGCACTGTCAACTGGGCGAATACGAAGTGCCAATACGGTTCGGCCACCAATGCGTCCGGAGGTCGGACATTGCATAGACCGACATATTCGTATTCTATATCCCTTCCTGATGTTGATACTGATGTTGATGTGAATATAAATAGTCGAAGAGACATCGCCGGCATCATCATCATCATCATCATCATCATCATCATCATCATCATCTCACTCATCACACTCACCACACCCAAAAAGTCGTATTCATATCTGTGCGCCACAAAATGTCCACACCAACCGTCATCGTCTTCGGCCCAACAGGCGGCGTCGGCTCCGCCGCTGCCCTCAGCGCGCATAAGCACAACGCAAAAGTCATCCTCGCCATGCGCGACACCACCAAGTCCATCCAGGGCCTCACTTCGGAGCAAGAAAGCACCGGCAACTTCGAGCGCGTGCAGGCCGACCTAACCTCGCCCGAAAGCATCCACAACGCCGTAACAAAAACCGGCGCCAAGCACGCATTCATCTACCTCGCTTTTGGCACGGCGGATGCAATGCGCGCGAGCATCGAGGCGCTCAAGCGCGCTGGCATCGAGACGGTCGTGCTTCTAAGTACTATTAGCATTAGCCTCCATGGCGATGCCGCCGACGTCCCGCCGAGTGACTTTATTGCGTTTACGCATGCGCAGGTGGAGGTGAATTTGCGAAATGTCTTTGGTGACAACTATGTGGCTATTCGGCCAGCGTTTTTCGCGACTAATTCATTATGGTGGAAGAGTGGCGCTCTCGAGGGAGAGGTGAAGCTGGCGTATCCCGAGGCCAGGTTGGATTTTATCGCGCCGGAGGATATTGGGAGTGTCGCTGCGACGTTTCTGGTGAAGGGGTTGCCAGCTGCTGAAGATGGGAGCAAGAGGAATTCTGTCGAGCTTGTTGGGCCGGAGAAGATGTCGATAAGGGAGGCGGTTGGTGTGATTGGCAGAGCCGTTGGCAAGGAAGTCAAGATCACCAAGATCGATGAGCAGGAGGCACTGCAGGACATGATCACGGCCCATGGGTTGCCGGCGCCGGTAGCGAAGACCATACTTGGCCAGCTCCGCAAGCAGGACGAATCTGGTGGGTTTTTCGGTTTACCAGAGGAGGCATCGGCAAATGTTCAAAGGTATACCGGGAGACCGTCATTGCGCTTCCATGAGTGGGTGGATCTGAACAAGGAAAAGTTCCTTGCTTGATTGAGAGTGAGCTGCATTCGGATTTTAGTTCTTGGTATTCTAGTTATCCTAATGACATGTACATGATTGACAGTTGATCAAGGAGACATTGGTCTATGACTCGAATAGAAGGCATACAGTAGGCTGACATTTCAAGGTCTCAAGTAATGCAATAGAGTGTACCATTAGAAGCATTTGTCCTGTAGGGCACTATGCCATACATGGGGCCATGCGCATGCGGCGACTATGAACAATATCCTTTCCTTCGGGGGCGAGTAATCGGCGCTATATCCAGCCTTACTAAAGCTGAAAATCTTGCAGCTTTCGAATTTTTGCCAAGTTTGTCTAGAACTGACTAATCTAGCGTTCTCTTTTCTTTTGCCTTCAAAGCATGTCGTCGAGACCTGGATAGCCGGGTAGCCGAATCAGAGCATCTCTTCCATGTTTTCCAAGCTTGCAGCAGGAAGAATCTCCTTATGGCCGAGGAGACATTGAATATCGTAATGGATACTAATGATTTCAAAGCAACTCCTCCACCATGCACCCGTACGATTTGAGAAGTATCCCACGTGCCGCCCCGTTTTATCAACCGGGGCGCGACGCCATGGCTGCGGGTGGAAGTGTGCCGTCTTAGCCACCGACGTCGACGAGTAGCATTGAGGATCGAGCTGGTGTGATTTGAGAATGAACGCAACAGACTTCGACACGGTCCGCCAAGTCACGCGCCGAGATACCCAAAGTGGCGACACGGACAACTCCTGGAGACTGGCCAACTTTCCCAACTGTCTTGGCTTTCAACAATATCCAGCAGCTCAGGAACGTGCTGAGGAATGCAATGTGATTTGCTGAGGGTTTCGTGGTTGTGGTCCGCCGAGAGATCGGAGGACCTTGGCGCCAAGTCCGCTCCTCCTACATGGAAGAAACCTGCTTCGGCGAATTCAAAGCAACCAGCGAATGGGAACCTGTTGTGGTTTCACGTTCTGTTCATGATAAGTTGGGTAGCTTTTTCTCAGACGTATTCCGAAGCACACGAGCTGCCTTGGCGAGCAGTCCACAGATTCCCTGCTTTCTGCCGAGCTCGATATATAGCGCCGCTCACTTCTCTGCGTCTGTAGTTTCCAGATCATCCATCAATTTCCTTCTCAAACTCTCCCAAGGCTGCTGTTGCAGCTTGACTTGAAGATGATCCCCGCTGCAACCGCCAAGTACGATTGGATCCTAGCCCTCACCTCCATCACCTTTGTCTTCAGTGCCTTTGGTAATGGAGCCAACGATGTGGCCAACTCGTACGCCACATCCGTCGCTGCTCGCACGCTGAGCATGTGGCAGGTCGGTATCTTGGCCGCGTGCACCGAGTTCATCGGTGCTGTTGCCCTTGGAGCCCGAGTTACCTCTACCATCAAGTCCGGCATCATTAGCATCGACCGGTTTGAAAACCAGCCAGGCCCTCTGATGCTGGCAATGGGCTGCGCTGAAATGGGCAATGCTGCCTGGCTGATGTTTGCAACCGGCATGGGCTGGCCTGTCTCTACTACTCAAACAATTGTCGGTGCTCTGGTCGGTGTCGGCTTTGCCGCTCAGGCACCTATCCACTGGGAATGGACCAAAGGCAGTGTCTCCCAGATTGCCGCCTCGTGGGGTATTGCCCCGGCCATTGCCGCCGGCTTCTCGGCTATCATCTTCGGCATTCTCAAATACTCCGTCCTCGAGCGCAAGGATCCCTTCAAGTGGGCCATGCGTCTTATCCCCGTCTACCTCGCCACGACAGGCGCCATCCTCGCCCTCTTCATCGTCGTCGAAGCTCCCACCGCCCCCTCCCTCGAGGAATTCGGCGCCGGCAAAGCCGTCGGCATCATCCTGGGCGTTTTCTTCGGCTGCCTCCTCATCGGCGTCGTCTTCTTCCTCCCCTACTTCCACCGCCGCCTCGTCAAGCAGGACGCCCGCGTCCGCTTCTACCACCTCCCTCTCGGCCCCTGGCTGCTCAAGGATACCTGCCCGCTCTACTTCCCGGGCAAAGGCGACAAATTCGTAACCAACTACTACGAAGACGCCTACGGCGAAGTCCTCGCCGGCAGGAAAACCCAAGCCCACGCCCACACCGCCGAGAAACAACCCCAACAATCCCAACCCACCGACGCCAAACTCCTCGAGTCCACCCAGGACGTCGAACGCACTGCCGCCTCCGCACAGTCAACCCCCGAGCTCAAACCCCGCAAGAAACACCTCGGCCCCCACGAACGCTTCCTCCACCCCGTCGCCGACCTCCCCTGGACGCATCCCCGGAAATGGCTCGGCTGGACCAAGTTCTGCCTCCTGCAGGGCGTCACCCGCGACGTGGTAACCCATGACTCCGCCCAGCTGCGCGACATCCACTCGCGCGCGCGCCGCTACGATGACCGCGTCGAGCACCTCTGGACATACTGCCAAGTCGTCTCTGCGATGATGATGTCGATAGCGCACGGGAGCAACGACGTTGCGAATGCGGTGGGGCCGTGGGCGGCTGTGTATGCGACGTACCAGGCCGGCGAGGTCGATACCGAGGCGCCGACGCCGGTGTGGTTCCTTGTTATTGCGGGGTTGCTGCTGGGTCTTGGGTTCTGGTTCTACGGGTATAATATTGTGCGGGCGTTGGGCAACAAGATCACGCAGATGTCGCCTACCAGAGGGTTTGCGACGGAGTTGGGGGCGGCGATTACGGTGTTGCTTGCGTCCAGGCTGGGGTTGCCTGTGTCGACGACACAGTGTTTGACTGGTGCGGCTACTGGTGTGGCGCTGATGAATTATGATTTGGGAGCGGTGAATTGGAGGCAGCTTGGTTTTATCTTCAGTGGGTGGGTGTTGACGTTGCCTTCTGCTGGATTGATTGGAGGGTTGTTGTGTTTGATGGCTTTGAATACGCCGCATTTTTAGGGGTGTGTGGTGGCAGGCATAGATTGTATATAATTGTTTTTTCGTTCTAAGTCCTATATACCCTTGTAATCAATTAAAAGTTCTGTATCAGAATGTTGTTCGAGTCACGCCCGCTCAAGAGAATGGAGCTTCCCGTATTGGTTGCTCTCTCCACCTGCCGGCACATTTTGCTCTAGCTCCTGGTCACTAGAACGGGTCACACCTTTAGTAGCAGGAATCATAAACCCGGTCCCGATGTATATGCACACAACAATATACTCCATCAGCGCCGTCATGACCACAAAAGCACCAATGTCTCCAGTCAGGTTACTCCATCTCTTATCGTCAGGATGATAGATCGACAGGAAAAGCCATGCGATCCGCACAACGATAAACGGAACAGCCAGACCCATACCCTTGAGTACCTACATAATATTAGCATCCCCACTGCCATATCCCAGAACTGGTACTGACCGTTTGACTTGCGCGAGACAAACTAGCATACTGTCTCCAAAACTTCCACTGGATAAGCACCAAGCCAGCCATAAAGACTGCAACAACAATGTACCCGGCCTTGGTGAGCGTACGGCCGGTCTTCACTGAGTCCGCGTCCGTGTAATCGCCGGCCAAGGAGCCGCCTGCGATGATCAAGGCAATCCCAGCAATGAACAAGAATCGAGAGATGCTCATGGGCAGGTGAAGGCCCTTGTTGTTGTTTTTAAACTCGTAAACGATACTAAAAGAGTTAGATCATGCCTACTAAGCCTGCCTGTCTGGAATGCACATACATTATCCGCAGAAGACCAATAGTCGCTGCAATCAGGGGCAGCAGTCCGGCGTTGAGAAGGATCAACGCCGCGATGTAGAGACCGACGCTGGATGGGCTGTTCTCGTACAGTATGGTGACAATAGCGCAGGCGATGCGGACTATCAACTATCAGCTCACTGTACATGTAGCAGCTGGAGCGAAGGCACTTACTCAAGCAGAAAACCTGGAGGATGATCCAGGCCTGCCGAGGCCGGCCATGTCGGTGGAAGAGAAGGACCGCGGCGGCTATTACGGCAGGTATATAGAAGACAATCTGCGCAATAGCGACCTTGGAATGATCTGTAAGCATTGTGTATGAAGGATATCGCTGAAATGAGAGTAGACAATGATGATGGACTGGAAGAATGGGTGATAGCTGGTGAATTGGAAATGCAGATCCAAGGGAGAGCACTCTACCTTTATAGTTCACGCGTTTCAGAAACCTCGTTCAGCCACCGTAGGCAGCCCATTTCCTCTTCAACCCAAATTTTCTTCAATATCCAATCGCCAGCACCTTTTCGTACACAGCTGAGACCAAGTCACGTGGCTCGCAGGTTTTGACCCAAACAGGATTAGCGCGGTGGATGCATCTTATGCCTCAAAAAGCTTAGGGCTGACAAGATTCTTTCCTCGCTGTCCTGTCCAGCGGTGACTCCGCCCTTTGAGGCTGTGCCACTCAATAGATTGGTACCTTAGTGGCTTGGATATGCTCGAAGTTAGCATGCATCTGTGGTCTCCTCAGATGTATGACCACATGCGCAGCCCCTGCTGCATTTTCTGCGATGCGTTCATCAACCAGGCCAATTCTGCTTCGTCATTGTGTCGATACCGAATAGCCCATACTGTAATGATTATGGGTACTGTCGCGGCAAATATTCCCAAAAGTGACATATCTTCCTGCAGGCAGTACTCCAGGGACTGGCAGACGTTGCGGGCCATTTTCAAGTAGTTTTGTCCATCGTGCAGAGTTGGGGAATCGCGCTCGGACAAGTTTTCTTCGTCATTTGTGGGACTAGGGTCGTGCTTCTCACTGGTCACTTCAACAATGGGGCCAGCGATGCCATGCACCCCCTGTAGCTTGATGACGTCGTACAGGTTGCTCAACGTAGCCCACACCATAGCCCTCGAGGCCCAATACAGCATCAACAACGTTGCAGTCTTGAGATCGGGAAACTCGTATATCACAGGAAACAGGCCTTGGTCCTGGGCCCTGTCTTTAAACGACGGTGAAAGAACAGGCCAGTACAACGGACCCTCTACCTGAAGCCGAAGGTCCTCGTAGATGTCTTGTAAAGTCTGATCGATCCTCAGACATTCCTCCACAAGCCCGTATGTTGAATCCAGAATCTCCTTCCGGTGGAGAGACGACAACTGGTCATATCGCTGGAGAATGGACGGCATGCGAGCAAGACAATCCGCAATGTGGTCCGCCATTCGTTTCGGTCGCGAGGCCCACGGATCCCGGCACCAGGCAGGATCGCAAATGAAATTCGGCACGCGGTGGCCAATTGCGTGAAGGATCTTTACACTGTCAGTAATAGCTCTCTCGCAGACGGGTTGAGACGCACCCCCTGTAATCTCACGCCCACGAAAAGATCATGCCCGATCCCATCCGTATGAGCATCCATTCCCCGCGCTTTTACCAGCGACAAGTAGCCCTTGCAGTGGCTTTGATACGCGTCCGCCCCGTTATCCGGACACTCCATGAGCTCATACAAGCTCAGAACCAAGCACGCCGCCAGCGTCTCATCTTCGCGTATCAGAGAGCCACTCCAGAGCGCTTTCTGCATCTCGCGCAAGGCCCTCGTATACGCTCTGAGACTCTGATGAACAAGTGCACTGTCGTTGAATCTCCGACCGATGGCCGCCGAGGAAATCGCCAAGGTCGAGAACTCCAGTGCCTTGGATCGGGTGGGGATGTCGGGGAGGAGAAAGAGCCACGGTCTGTACCAGCTGCGTGTGCGGAACCGCGAATGAGGAAGACAGCGCCCGATGAAGGCATCCAGGAGTTGCTGGCGAATATTGCAACTCATGATGATCTCATGTCCCGGGCCTTGGTCGAAGGGATTTGGATTGATCTTTGCGACATCCTGGCGGGCTGTGCGGACGGATTCTTTGGCGTCTGGTTGAACCAGGACAAATACCTTGTCGCGCTGGTAGCCTGCGCATTGGCGGTTGGATTTGACGCATTGGCTGCAGCGGGGTCTTTCTTGTCCGCACTGAGTCTGTTAATCCCGTACTATTTATCTGGAGGGATTCGGCTTACCGCGATTTTACGCGCTCGACAGGTTCCGCAGCCTTGAGATTTTCCTCGTACGCCGCCCATTATGGAATCATTTGAGATGCGCTGATCAAACGCAATGGATACGAAGATGAAATTGGGGTTGTTGCGAGATGAGGCTGTAGCTGGTTGATCACGAGCTGATGAAAGCTAAGGACAAACAAGCAGCGCTTATCCCCGGGTGGAGTGAAACCCCGCCAATCAATCGACAACACAGCCACCTGCCATGATAGACCCTGCCGTGACTCATGAAAATCAGGTGTTAGTTATCAGTACTTGGTCAATAGCAACAACGAAAATCCTAAGGGTTCCCCGTATGTACTACTGCTGATCCAATTGCTATCTCATAACGCATTATCTGGGGGTGAAAGATTGCCAGCTGGGTCCCTTAAACAGCCCCGACTAGCCGACTGAAATATATATAATTACACCGGCTTGTGCCACACTTCATCCTGCGAGCGTACAGAAAATATGATACTCTCATTGCCAAATCACACTATATTATTTATGTGTACTTAATAACACCTCAGACCATCTTTCCATCATAAATAGACAATGCGAGCCTCAATTCTCGACGCTCTAGACTCCTGAATTGTGGGACCCAGCTGGAATCAGGCAACAATGGCTGCCTTGTGGGCCTTGTTGCCTAGGTACCATAATCTTACTCCTTGCCACACACACAACGTATCCCGGGATGATATATGATATGTTGAAGCCAGGGAAATGCACAGCTATAGATTTTCAAACAAAATGGACGACCAACTCCCGCCGGATCAGAAAGAGCGCCTGCACGAGGTTGCCGACCTCATGCTGGAAATCTACCAGACCCTCGCAAAGATGCGCTATCTCGACCCAGCAGGAATCGAACAAGGCCCACATAACATCGACCATCTGCGCCCATTGTACGAAAAGTTGAAGATAGACCCAGCCATCATCTACCTCTACGGTATTCTTCCTTACGTGAACCGTCATGTTGCCGGTAATGAGGACTTCTTCCACGGTGGTGCATTCACGGATTTCCGCCGCGAGGAAGACGTGATGCAGGGTCGGGATCCATTCTACGGCAGTCCTGTCGGCGATGACTACGAGGATGAAAATGGGCCGTACATTCGGCCGTGGGTGACCCCGTTGTCGCAGCTGGGGAATCACCAGAGTGTGATCATTTACGATGCGCGGCGGCACCGGATTTGGATTATTGATCAGGAACTGTGGAAAACTACTGATCCTGCGCTGGCGGATGGGCCAGTCATGTACTCTGATGATTCAGATGAAGAGAAGGATGGAAAAAAGAAAAGCAAGAACCGTAATAGCTTCGAGTCTATACCCAATCGTCGCGCTGGGGACGTTCTACGCGATATTATCCGCTGGTATCGTTCACTGGATGAGCTACCTGGTGGGGAGCATTGCGCAGGCGAATGGAGCCGGCATGACATACCCCTGAAAGAGCTGTACCGCGAGTATGGTTGGCCGGATAATTTCGACGCGGACGGCTTTCAGGTTGCTCAAGCGCGGGCGCACTGCGCAGCTACCGCCAAGAACACTGCCGAACAGCCATTGCGATCCGTGGAGAGATCCAAGCTCTGGGATAAGCATGCAGAGGCCCGCGTTTCGTTATATCAAGCGGAACTTGCGGCGGCCAAGACTACCGATGAGCAGTGGGCGGCGCGTTTCAAGCTCTGGAGGGAAGAGCTATGGTCTGTGAGGAACAATGAGTATCTCGCCAAGGCTGAACAAGAAGCAGAGAGGCTGTGCCCGGGGGGAGTATGCCAGAGGAAGGAAGATCTCCCTCTCTGGGAACTGGAGAAGCTTCGGCAGGAGTACAAGTCGAAGAGGGAGAATGTGGAAACGTGTCAAAACTGGGCGAATGAGCTTGCTGATACTGACCCCGACCGTGCGCGATACCATCAGATCAGCCTGCAGCAGGCGAAGAGGGAGGCTGCCATCTATCAAAAGGCATATGAAGCGGCCTTAGCAGACGCAGAACGGCTTTGCCCAGGGAGGACCTTTCAATCTGCGACCGGAATTACCTCCCTCGTCAGAGTGGATACAGTCGCTAGTATTCGGGATCAAAAAGCCAGTATGGCCATGATGGAGCGCGAACTTGAAGCCCTCAGAGATTGGGCCCTACGATTACCAGACGAGGCTATACAGGCCAAAAAGCTTGTGGAGGAGGAGGTAGAAAGCCACGAACGGGCAATCAAATTCGGAAAGGAAATGATACAGCGGGATGAAGCGTCTTTAACCGAGCATAGCAATCAAGATGGATGAAGTTGGATAAATGAGATGAACGCATATCTATACCTCTTTGGTAGATTAGCTGCAGTTGTACTACATGAGACCATCTGCCGTTGCCGCAGCGATAACACATCCATGCAGATGCGGGGCTGAGCATACTCAACTTCCCTCTTCTGGCTCTCAATTCAATATTTCGCCCTTTCATCCACCATCAAAATGGCAAAACATCGTCTTCTTCTGATAGCATTTTCTCTGCTTGCGGCCGCCGTCGAAACCCCACATCGCCGAACATACTTGTATGTCGGAGGCAACTACACCCTCAATAATGATGGAGAACACATCTTCACCAACCAGATGTACGTCGAACGACTTACTCCTGTCGATGGACCAATTCAACAGTATCCGATCGTGTTTATCCACGGAGCCGACCAGACAGCAACGGTACAACTTCCTGATCCTAATGTCTCACATAACTAACTCGACCAGAACTGGCTGAACAAACCCGACGGAAACGAAGGATGGGCGTCTTACTTTCTCTCGCAAGGCTACGAATGCTACTTGCTCGATCACACCTCCCGCGGCAGGAGTCCATGGGATTCCCGGAATGGACAGCTGAGGAAATACAGCGCCGAGCATCTGCAAAAGTACTTTACTGACACGGCGAAATACAACCTTTGGCCACAGGCGAGTCTTCACACTCAGTGGCCCGGAACCGGTGTTATGGGCGATTCCTTTTTCGATGCGTACTATGCATCGACCGTTCCTTCGCTTGCAGAAAACGCTGCTCAAGAGGCCTCCATGCAGCCTGCTGGCGCTGCATTGCTAGAAGCCATCGGCAAGCCGGTGATACTTGTCGCTCACTCCCAGGGAGGGGCGATGGCTTGGGTCACGGCAGATAGGAAACCAGATCTGGTGCATTCTATCGTATCAATTGAACCGTCCGGTCCGCCATTCCAGAATGCAATTTTTGGGAGTGGACCGGCCCGTCCATACGGATTGACCGATATACCAATCACTTATTCTCCTCCGGTGACCAATCCAGACGCCGACTTTGTTAAACAAACAATCACATCCAACTCCAATGCAACGTCGGATTGCGTGATCCAGGCTGACGACCCTCCACCTCGACAGCTCGCCAACCTGTCCAAAATTCGGACCTTGGTCATTACAGCCGAAGCATCATACCATGCCACACACGACTGGTGCACTGCTCGATTCCTCCAACAAGCCGGAGTTGCAACAACGCATCTGCAGCTAGAGGAGGTCGGCATCCATGGCAACGGGCATATGATGTTCCTGGAGAAGAACAGCGACGAAGTGGTCAGAGCGATACACAAGTGGATCGAGGATCCGACATCATGATATAGCTTCTATGCAGTCTACCAGTCAATGCACATCCTTAACAATCAACTCCGGTTGATCCACCCGCCTCGCCCACTCCATCCAACTCCCATCGTAGATCCGTTTTGGATTTTTATATCCAGTCTCCCCCAGCGCCAAATCCAGTGCCGCAGCCGTCACCCCAGAATTGCACGTCAACACCAACGGCACTCGCCCATCGACCCCCGCCCTCTCAAATACTTCAGCCAGCTTCTTCACCGACAGGAACGTACTCGACTCCTCCTCCAGCATCGCCGCCAACGGCACATTAACCGCCCGCGGCATATGCCCCGAACTCAACCCAGCAACCGCCTCGTCTTCCTCCCCGCTAAACCGCCCCGCAATCCGCGAATCCACAATCTGAACCACTTTTGAATCCTTCAGAACCAGCTCCCTCAACTCCTCAAACGAAATCACCCGGTCGCTGGCCGGCGGAGTAACGGGATACTCAGAGACAGACGCGAGAGCCCGCATCTCCCCGGTGGCAACGGGGTAGCCCAGTCGCACATACACACGGAAATTATTCAACACATGCACGGCCTCATGACCAAAGAAGCGGAACATCCACGCCACGCGCGGCGAGCTGTAGATCCCCACGTCTACTGCGTCGTAGATTACTAGCACGTCGTCCTTCTTGATGCCTAGGGCTGCTACGCAGGCGGCGAAGTGTGACGCCGTGGGGAGCATCTGTGGGTATGGCGAGGTGGTATCTCTGATGAGATCCATGTCGAAGAAGCTGCGCTCGTTAGTATGATAATGCTGCGTGGTGAGGTGGGACATACACGGAGTTGGGGATATGCTGGGCATGATAGGCGGGGGTGTGGACTGCGCGCCGGCCGGCGGCTACAGGGATGATTCGCCGGGTGGGTGTGGGTGAGTTCACGGCGGCGTGGAATTGGTCTGGGGAGACCAGCATACTCGAGAATGGGCTTGTCATTATGCTTTTGATGTTGTTTGGCGTAAGATGATGCTCTGGACTGGTCACTAGAGTTCATGATTATATTTACCGCGGAGGTGGGAGAGTGGGGATTGATTGAGGATCCACTATCAATCACGCAATTTGCTCTAATTTAGTTTATTCCTGACATAATTCTAACTGAGCCTAATGTCTAATTATATAATTATCCCCCAAGGCTTAAGCACAGTAGAAATTGACATAGCAGTCCGGCTTGCCGTCCGCGAGATCGCACTGATCAATCATAGGGAAGAAATCATTGCTGGGACAATCGGCTTCACACGTCTTGGCACTGCCACAGGGCTCGTCGTCTAGTAATGTTAGCCACGGGCCAGGATGGGAGAAGGGAAGAATTACATTGAGCGAAAGCAACTGCTGCCAGCGCAAAAATCGTGAGAAGGGGACTGAATTGCATCTTGATCCGTAAGGTCAGTTTACTGGTGTTAGGGAGGTGAGCGCCGACTTACATTTGGGATAGTAGACTAGAAACGTTTTGAGCCTATACTCAATGATGAAGAATGGACAGCTCTGACTGGCAATCCAGCGGAATTTATACTCTTGTCCCAAGGCCAATCTCATTCGCGGACATGGCTGGTTTGCAATGCCTTGCATCATGCACGTTCCTGAGAGCACCCCTTGCTTAGGTTGTGTAACCACCAGATAGCAATCACTGGGTGATTGAGCTCTCTAAGGCCTCTCAGATCTAGGAGGCATGTCATAATTCCTTTAATCACTACCCAGTGCACGAATTCCTTTTTGTGCTTGTGGCGTTGCCTTGTGCATATGATCGTCTGTTCTTGAATACTAACGATACATAGCTACCCCTGCCACTGGTGATGGAGTTCTTCTAATTAACTGAGTCATGAGAAAGTAAGACAATTTTAGTTCTGCATTAGAGATCATACCAGCTGCCCACCACTCGATATTTACATTGGTTAGAGATGCACTCAGGTGTGTTGTGTTACTCCACGGATCACATTGCAAAATACCAACCAGCTCCAGCCACAATCACCAACAACTCCATATTGAGGCTCGAGAAGCTATTCTTGTTTGCTCCCGAGAGAGATACCGTACCGGTAGGCACTGGAACCGGCACAAAAGTCCGGGTTGGGGTGAAAATTGACACCGTGGGAAAATCTGTCATCGTCCTGCGAGACGACGTTGAGGTCGAGGTTGAGGTTGATGAACCCATCTCAGTAGTCTCAGATGCGTAATCAGAATCTGTTGATCTCGTTCGAGTGCTGCTCTCGGATTCCGTCGTGGAATAACCTGTCGTGGACTCTGTCTCAGAATACGACGTCGTTGTGTGCTCCTCTGTGTGAGTTGTGTATTCAGAGGTAGTAGACGTAGTAGACACTTTCCCCTCTGTAGACGTGGATGAGGTTGTTGAATCATGATCTTCAGAACCACCACCGCTCCCGACATCGTCGTAGCTTCCACTGCATGTATGGCCCCATTTACACTGTCCATGTCAGCACAAGGTCTGCCGTCCAGGTCGATCAGACTTACACATCCACCAGCAGTACACTTGTAGCCATACTCGCACTGCACCAGTTAGCACCATCCCTAGCAACCACGAGAGAAAAGACACACATAAAACCCATCACCGCAACACTCCGACAACATCGGCACACATCTCGTATCGCATTCCTTCTCGGTATACATTTCGCAACAATACGTCGGGCCCTTGGACGGCTTCACATCGTTGTAGCAGAGCTGAGCGGCCGGACAGCAGGATCCATCCGAGCAGCAGGTGAAGTCGCAGCACTGGCCAGCCTCGCACAGATGGGCACCCGGTACGCACTCGTAGTACCGCGGGAGGAGATTGTTGTCGTAGGCTATCGAGGTGGAGGCATTATTTGACGGCACGAAGCGGCCTTTTTGGAAAGGCTTGAGAGTATCGCGCTTGAGGCTGGATGCTGTTGCGGTAAGGGAGATGGCCGAGGCCAGCAGGAGGAAGGAGAAGCGCGCCATGTTTGTTGGCTGAAGATCACTAGTGAAACATTGGGGTAGAGAGGAGCTTATATGGGTCTTTTGCTGTCGGAGTATGGGGTGGAGAGTGATTTGACACCTCGTATTCGAGGTTATTAACAATACCGAGCAACTCTAGTTTCTTGGTTGAATAGACTGAGGAGACCTCATTGGCCGTCAAAGGTGATCTCTTTCCGAACAGAGTCAAGCCGGTATATACCTCGTATTTACTAACGAATCGCACTGACACTATTACTACCAGGATATCACAAGACTGCCGTTTACGCTTTGACTTTCGGCATTGACGAGGCTGAGAGTTATCCACAAGTCTGATCAAACAAAGTCCATAAGGACCAAATATTGGCAGTTTGGAGACGAACCTTCCACCTCGAAACGAAGAGGATATATCATCCGAACTTGGAGATGGGTGAAGAAGCTGAACGAACGAAGATTTTGGAGTTGACAAGGCTTCAGGAAAAGGAATATTATCATGCACCCTCTATACTCAAAACAACGAAAGGACATGAACAGAAAAAGCATCCCTGAGAATCAAACGAATCCAACATTAGCGAACTTCGTGCATCTTACAGTACTGCCATGCTTTAAGAAACCTCCATCTGAAGAACCCCATCATAAGAACAGCTAATCTCAACCCCTGGCTCCGGATCATTCACACAAATCCACTTGGTCCCAGGCGCAGCGCCATTCGCGTTCGAACTCAGCAAGACATGACCATCCTCAGGGATGGATCCATTAACCCGCTGAAGCTCCAGAGTGAAGCAGTTGAAGTCGGGAGCGCCATTGGGAAATTTGATGTAGTATTCGCCATTATTGCAACGGGCGTTTGACTTAGGAAGGCTGCCATAGGTCCTGATTGACAAGAGAAGCAACTGTCAGTCCAGTATCTATAAGGAAGAGCTGTGTACTCACCAAATTAGGTTGCACTCGGTAGGTGTGTCCTCTGGGTAGTTTGGATCGGTAACGACAAAGTGCATGGATGCACCAGGGGAGGTGGGAGCAGCTCTGGCCCAGAAGTCGCTGATTTGGATGTAGCTGTCACGCTTGATGGTGGTGGGAACGGCGAGCGCTGAGCTGGCAGCCACGAGGATTGAGGCGGTGGTGAGCTTCATCGTGCAGATGCTATTGAACTTGGATGAGAGGAAGAGGATTTGATGATGTGAAGATGATAGGAATAAGGAGTTAATATTGGGAGGAAGGTGATATTTATATGTTGTACACCATCATTGCAATCTGTACATGTCCTATTAACCAGCAGGTATTCATGGTCACCTAAGACATCATAGTCAAGCGACCTCACCAGTCTATAATTATCTGTTTGGCACGCCGTATATGACAGAATCTGTGGCTGAGAAACCATGGATGGAAGGATTTCGACGAGCGTGACGTATCTCAGTGGCTCCCACTTCTCCAAGTGAGACACTGAATCAGGCGCACAAGCTGCTCTCCGGCTGTATGGTGCTTACATGACTATATTGCCATCAGCGGTTGTGGCTGATGCTTCTTTAGGCCCCCCATACTCCACCAACTCAGCGCTGAGAGGCTGTAGCTTGAGATCTGTAGATCATTGCTTTGAATGTCCAAGTTAAAGCTCAGATTTCAAGGCTTATTCAGCATATATGACACGCAGTCTAGCTATTATTAGTTGGGTTGTCTTAATTTAGATACCATGGTGAGCTAGGATTGGATCTGTAAATCTATACTGGTACCAGTATAGTTATACTTTAGTAGTGCATTAATAGGCAAGTACTCTCAATCTTACAAATCTCACAAAGTTGCTCAAACCACTGGATTCTCTGCATAGTCCATGGACACTACATGAAATATATTGCAATTAGACTTCACATGCTATAATAAACTACTTCAAGGTATCAGTGCGATTGTGAGGAGTGAAAAATATAGGCAAAACTGTCCAGATAATAAATCACAGCAGAAAGGATTCCCATGGATGGTCTATTATCAAGTGCCTTCTGCATTTGGTTACCCGCTTATGACAAGAATATCAATCTGCATGCGCAGATCGGCTTCCCTGATAGCAGCCGTCACCAGCCTACCTAGATGAGCGCATACAGGATGCGAGAGGCGCCTAACTACCAGCAGATAACTCACACAGAGCAAGGAAGGGCTTTGCGGCTTATGCATTAAAATTCCTGAAGGCACACAATAGCAGCGTCAAGTTGGTACGAAGATCAGCGGGAGGTCCTGGGGAGTGGCATTGGGAAAAGCAAGGATGGAGTTAAGAAATGGCTTATACAACAGCACAAATGCACATAGAAAATCTAGCTATGCCTATAGATTGAGTTGGAGGGCGCGTGTTGACCTATATGTCTCAAAGGACACCCTTTCCAATCCCTTTAAATAGGGCTGCAAGAAAAGCTGCCGGTTAAATCATTGAAATTGATAATGGAACCAGAGGCAAAGGGTACAGAGCGTAGATTCCAAGATCCAGCTTGGAGGTAGGCTTTAGGATTGGTGCAACCATAGCCCCTTAGTATTATTATTATCAGAAGAGGCACATCTAGTCAAGGCGCTTCATGGCATGTACATACCTAGAGAGCCTACAGATAAATCCCTGTGGTACTACTGCTGAGGAAGCTTTGTGGTAACTAAGTCAAAGAAGTAGACCGTAATTAGTCAAGAGCGTCATCTGCTAGCCATGACCATAAACAGTTTTCAGGTTGGTCTGAACACTTACAGCTGGCTAAGGCCACCTTTGAAGTCGAGACAAGAATCAGAGATTACTGGCAAGTTCAGGCAGGTACCACGAAGGTTGGCATCTGTGCAGAAGACCACCATTATTCGAAACTACCTGTAATGGAAGATTAATGGTGGTCTTATATCCATGCCTTTTGGAACATGTAGTGCTTACTGTAGTCGATGCTCCTTGTGCAAGTACACCAAGCATGGCAGGAAGTGACACAAATTGGGTAACTTTGACCATTCTGTTTCCCTAGCTGGCGAAGATAGACAATTTGTTTGAGAGGAAAAGATGAAGCAGCTTTGCACACCACTACAATCCAGGTAGTTGATATGGAGGAGGGGAAAGTGTAGATTTATAGGTATCTGGGAAGGTAGGGCGGGCTTTCTTTGCAAAAACGCCGAGTTACAGGTCTATTCATACATTGCTGAATGCTTCTACTCCTGCAAGTTGGTTCGCTTATCACAGATAGATCTAATCGCAAATCCCCCGGCAGCAAAACCCCGCTCCCATGCGAGGATGCCTTTGAACAATCGGGGCACTGACTCGTATTCTGGGCCTGGTGGGCCAAATATGCAGCATGCAAACCAAGACTAGTTTGTCAGATATGTTGCTATTGCCAATGACTCCATAAATGTACTCGTAGAATTCCCAGTGCTGCCCCGCCAATTGAAGGTACCACTGGCCCAGGTTGCGAACAAAGTGCCAGACTGGCTTGCGGAGCAGTAGAGGATGGCTGGCTGCGACCTCTTGAGACTTTCAGCAACGCCACAGCTCTAGTGCAAGCTTATGGCTAGATCTGTTATCAAAAACGCTATTTAGAACTTTGAACCCACTTAGGGTTTTCCACGCTTCTAATAATCCAGCTAGCCTGGCCTGTCAATTGTCTCATACCCATAAGTCAATAGACCGCTCAATTGAAGGACTAGTAGCCGCTATTATCAAACTATCAGCTGTGGCTTAGAGTGATCCGATTATAGGACGCATTACTTCGATAAGCTACAAGTGTAGGAACCATCCAGTTAGTTACGTATTAAATCAGCTTGGGTAGTGATACATAAATTTGCGCCGCATTGTGGCACATTGTTTCCAAGTCTAGTTAGGTGTTTTCCCAATGTACATGAAATTTCCGTCTGTAATCTGTTTTGATTCTCTAATAACACTAGCATGGTGGCTTTTGAACCTTCGAACTCAAGCAGATCAGAGTCTTATACAGAGTTACTGTTCTCACCAGGCTCTGCGTTGGCAAATGGACGTGGCCCCAATCTACACGATATGACACCCACATCGCTTGGCAGGCATGACAAGCGAAAGTGTGGGATAACGACAGCCAATCGGCAGAATAAACTGGCCCAGTGTCAACAGCGGTAATCGAGTCAACCAGGCTCTCGGAGGCTGTTTCGCCACTGCAACACGAGTGGGGTGTATAGGAGCAGTGTTCCATTAGCTTCTTCAGAGCGCCATTTCAGGTGAGACATATAGTTGAACATAGTTTACTTATGTTCAATGCGCCGAGAACTGTGTCGATGGGCTTCCAGATGGTGGGCTGCATTCTGGACCTTCATAAACAAGCCACTGTGGTGGCTGCTTTTGCGGTGGCGGTGTATCGGAGCTCGACGTATCAGAACATGGACCCGCTGCTCGGTAGAGGGATACGAGGAACCATATGGATTACTGGGACTTGAAAACGCCAATGCACTAGTGCTGATATTCTTCTATATCAGTTTCCACTCCATCCGTACATCTTTTTGGAACCATAGGTGGAACTAGGAGACTGTGCTTCAGCAACTGAAACGGAACATGCGTTGAACCAAACCCATCAAGAGCTGAATTTGATACTTACTGCAGCGGTGCTATAGGGCCTGAGCGAGCCCTTTTTCTTTCTTTTCTTCTTCTTTTCTTTTTGGTCCTATTAGCCATGGGCATTGTTAGATACGACTATGTTCAGCGCTGAAGACCATAAGTAAATTTGCCGCAGACACCCAGTTGGCTTGTATTCGCAATAGAAAACACTCATGGCAAAACCTTCTTCCATCAACCAGAGTAGGAGAGAGATCCGCCAGTATTAGAGGTCGCCAATTCAGAATCGGAACGAATGATATTAAAGATGTTTCAAAAGCAGCCGTCTATCTTGAAATGCATCCTGGAAGCGTACTACTCCACCGACAACTTAGAAGTTATTGAGACGTCAATGCTATTGTTCCTAGACCTAAGCTACTCGCTTCTTAAACTGAACCATTGGCCCATCCCTGACACTGATATACTTATCCTTGACGTGGAAGATGTT